TACCTGACTCTTTCGCTCGATGGCTGGAGCAGTCGGAGACAGGATGAGATATACACGTTCCACACAACACTTCCGAGTCGACGGTCTATCTTCACGCTCGGACATGTCTTCAATGGCGTGGCGGTTACGGCGGAAGCGTTGCTGGCTGTTGCTAAGGAGAAGATCCTCAAGATCTACGGTGCTGCTTCGTATAGTGCTGTTGTCGGTGATGGTGGAAGCAATGTACGCGTGATGCGAAGGCTGATTGCGGCAGCCTTTCCGTGGATATTGAACATCTACGACCCAAGTCACCTTCTTAACCTCTTCCTGAAGGATATTGGAAAGCTGTTCAAACCGGTATGATTCATTGTCTCTCCCATATCTTTTTTCACATTTGGGATAGGAACTTGCAATCATTGCAGGCATCTCTAACTACTTTGCCCATTCCAATTCCGCGACCCATGCCTTGGCAGTCAAACGCAACGATCTAGGAATCAAGACAGGCATCAAGTCTGCATCCGACACTCGATTCGGGACATCATATATTCAGGCCTTTGCTCTGCGACTCTGCTTCCCAGCTATTGTTGCATGTCTGCAGTCTGGGACTATTGCGTTTGATACGAAAACGGTACGGCTTCATCTGTACCCTTAGAATGTACTAACATGTCATGCAGACACGGCGCTTCCTTCCTTACTTTGATCCTGATCATCTTGAATACCCGGGCTTCCAATCCAAACTTTCCGCACTCATTCAACTTCTCGAGGCCGGGGCAAACGGTATCACAGCGCTCGAGGGGCAGAATGTAACATGCGCTGATGTATTCTACGTATGGGTCACAATTGCCTGGCATCTCGAGCGCCTTGTTGGCAGTTTGTCGAAGGGTTTCACGAAGTATTGGTCGCAGATCATCAACATCTACAATGCTCGTTTCGAGCAGATGATGACCGAGTCCTCTCATAACCTCTTTTTACTTGCGTACTTCCTTCATCCCCGTAAGTCCTCTGCTCTAAATGTAATCCCAGCTCACAATGTCTACCAGTCTACTTTGCACAAGGAGGATTGAAACTAGTCCTGCCAAATCTTTGTGAGGGCGAAAAGTACGACAAGGATCAGTGGAGCGACATGTTCCGGACCCTCCGTCTATCAGCAAGAGCCGTCTTACACGGCGAGCAGAAACGTCTCAATGCTGAATGCAAGGCCGATGCCAAACGCTTGACAGAGCAGCTTGTTCGATGGGCTTGCGGACATTCTCCGTTCCATCGACGTGGGTTTGTGACACGCACGGACAAGGCACTGGACTACTGGACTGCATTGAAGCATGATTCAAATGCAGACGTTCTGGCGGTGCGTACAAGTACACAGCTTACATACCGGTCTTGATTTCACATATCTAGACTGTTGCTATTGTCCTCTTCTCCATTTCGCCTTCAGAGATCTGTGATGAGCGCACCGCATCTCTTCTCGGGTGGACAAATTCTGCTCGTCGCAGCTCCATGACCCCCAAGAACCTTGTGTATTCAGCCCAGCTCTCCCAATGGTACAAGAACGGCTTCACCGAGGGCGAATATCAACACACCTCGACAGCGCATGTCTGCGTATCCAACGTCGATCTATCAACCGAGTCCGACGTCACTCTGTCGGCACCCACACTCATGGATTTACTGAACGACGTCAACATTGATCCAAGCACAGAGGATCAAGAAGCTCTTGAGAAGATGCTCTTTGAGCAAGAAGATCCTTATGACTTGGAGGAGTCGGATCGTGTTGACAACAACGTCATTTCGGAGTCCGCTCACACGAATCCCACTCCCACGCCGTTCATCACACGCTCCTCCAGTCGATGGGCTGTCGCTGACTTCGTACGCCTTGACAGTCCGGCACTGGCTGGTCTCATCCTTCCTAGCGCCGCACCTACTACCTCCAAAACAGTCGCAGCCCCAGCTGTGGTCACCAAAGAGATCGTGAATCAGCCTTGGGATCCCATGGCAGATAGCAACGACGAGTAATGGATCGACATGGACGCTCAAAAACGCGCTCAGACGCCGTAGATACCGATGTTCTAGCCTTGCTAAAAACTTGGCTACAATCGATTAATAGCACCTATATTTAGCCTAGCAAGAGCCGCGACGATCATAGCAATTAAAAAATCAACCTAGCAACCCAGAAAAAATTCATAGCCCAGCACTACCGTCTACCCCATGGGTTTTTATCTCGGTCTTGGAGCCGCAGACTGTGCGAACACTGTCGAAGGAGCACGAGAGAAGTCGAAGCATTTCGACCTATAGGATGCTGAGTAAAGAAAACGAGATGTCCAACGTGTAAATCCTATGGCCTGAGATCTCTGACGAAGCCTCGTTTAGAAGGTCTACGCGGTCATCTTCATGACATTAAAAGCTGTCAGTCATGCGGCTGACTCCTCAACTATGGAGGTCGAAAACTACATGCTGATAACCGAGTCTATATATCAATGATACGCCTCGGCAAGTGATATAAGATCAAATGTTGAGTGATTGCGACCCCCGGGACCACCTTCTGACTAGAGCATAAGTTCAAACAATGTATGTAGTAGACTAGAGCATAAGTAAAAACAACGTTTTTAATTACCAATCCCCGTCTGCTACTAAATCATCTTCCTCGTCCGAAAACCATGCATACAAGCTCTCAGGCTCCTCTTCGACAGGGCCGAGATCTGGCTCAATTTCATTGAGCATTTCACCGAGTCTTGCATAATGTTGGGGATCTGAGAATAAACATTGTCAGAGACGGATGCAAAAGCTTCGGAGGAAGAGCACTTGCCTAATCCAGCACCCTGATTGACGCCGCCCATGTACGCGCCAGGCCCAACAACGTCTTCACCTCCTCGCAGCTCCTTCAGGTTCGGGAGGACCTCAATCTCGTCTGGATACTCGTTGGACGCCATTTCTAATGCCCGGGTCCAGTGTGCACTCTGATGCATCACGTGAAGCTCATTGAGCTTGTTGAATTCGGACAGTAGTCGTCGATACACCTCCCAACAGCTCTTCCGATTAACCGGAGGCTCTCCAATGTTCCGATATATCTGGGAGATGAGAACCTCGAAATCCAATGGAACGAGCTGGAAAATCTCGTGGTCGGGAGGCGCATACATGTCACAAACCTTCTGAATCCCGACAGGATCAGCTTTGATCTGAATTGAACAATTTAATGAAAAATACAATCCTTTCAGTGAGACCATCCACGTACCTTGAAGTCGAGAATTGCGTAGTCTTCGGGAAATTCGAACATGTGGCTGGGGACACCATTCGGAAGAATTTTGTTGCGGTCATGTCGTTTGGCAGTATTATTGACGCGATTTCGGTAGTTGTCTAGTTCTGCCTGTAGCCACGGAATAAAAACCCAGCGGAACACGAGACTTGAGTGAAAGTTTTCAGCATCAATCAAAGGAAGATAATTGGAGATACTCACGCTTCAAGAAGAACACCAGGATCATACCATCCTTGATTCACACCAAAATCGAGGATATCCTCAAAGCCTGGTGTGAATCGGCGACGCATCTGGCTCCAAGTAATCTCTAGCTTGACATTCTTCTTCTCGCGCATCCAGCGATGTTGTGATGTTCCAACCAGAGAGGGATCTTGATAGTGTCGAAGCTGAGTGTGTCCGTTAGCAAGCCCAACGTTCTCTGAGCCTGGATCACTCTGAGACACAAGTGGCATAACTTAACATGCCAAATAATGAGTACAGGTGCGATAAAAAAATAAATTGGGAATCACATACCTCCAAGATTCTCGATCACATCAAGATAGTAACTAAGAATAAGTCGAGGATTGTTATTGTTCCACCAGATCCTCATCCAATGAATGAGACCAAGGAAAGGATCGATGCCGGTGTGAAGTGCAAGACCGAACTTGTACTTCCACTTGTCATGTTGGTCTACAGCCCAGATATCATTAGCACCAGCAGCCCAGAAGTGCTTGCGTTTGAAATGGCGCTGTCGGCGTTCTCGGACTAAATCTGGCTCATAGACACGAAAATAGTGCATCACTGTCTCACTACATGATGATCCATCAGGTCTGGGAGAGCACCAAGAAATTTTTGACGCACCGTGCAACCCGGATGTTCTCCTCATGAAAGAGGAGGCTGACCATCTCTCGACCTCCAGCCTTTGGATAAGTGATGCGAAGTTTGGAAATCGGAGTCACAATAGATTCAACCGTGTGACCTTGCGCTCAAGCTCGAATATACCCCAACTTCTCACGAATTTTACGGAACGATGCGATTCTGAGTTGAGTTTTAGAGAAAAAAATTCGCAAAATTCTTGATAAGATAATGACTCACTCCAGTCCATACTTGGAGAGATCAATATGATGTTTCTTGAGGAGAGCAAGGATAGCAACATCGGACTTATTTTGCTTCCAGTACTTAGCAATGAATGGTTGAAGGTCCTCTGCAGGAGCTAGAGCACAGTTCGTCAGATTAACAACACGAAAATCATGTATATAGATATAACATACGGATGGGCTTGTGCTGATTCCACCCCATGGCAGCGTGGTCTGAGATGACAGAACAAAGAGCAGTGTGACGACAGTAGGAAGAGTGGGATTAACCTGAGAATGCATGAGTATAATGTTCAGTCTTTATAATGAGCTAGCCTTGCCGCAATCCGGATCTATGGAGTGCTCAGGAGAGGAGCACTTCACAGGCAATCGGGTGATTACGGAGAATGGGAACAGGGAATGTTAATGATGTATGCATGGCAAAAATGCCGCTCGGAGCATACAGGAGAATTATTGGTCTCCAAATGATGGAGGCAAGCACAAAAAGTATATCTGAGCGCGCATAATCTCATATTATCTGCATGTGTTGATCCGTAATGATCTTCTGCCTATTTTTATTTATTTTCACGTTGGTCACATCCGGATGTTGAGAGATATCGGGAGAAGTCGGAAACGAGGTCAGAGGTGAGGCATGGACCATAAAATGTGAGAGGGATATTCACTTCAGGACCGTGGTCAACTCGCCTTCCTTCCAATTTTCTTCGATGTCAAACGCTGGTGTGCTCTACGCCGAATTCACCGATGATGCCACGGTTGATATTCCTTTTGAATGTCGATCTGGCCGTCGTTGCAAATTGACTTTGCGCACTGATACTGCCAAAGGTCTCATAGTCATGCCAGGCCAACCCCGATTCACAGTCGAGAGTGCGTCTCAGGTATCAGGCAGCCGGGTTGTTTGTGAAGCGTGCTATGTATATTATGATGGGAAGCGCACCAGTACACGAGGAGGTACGCTTCTCAGTTGACAAATTTTCTTTTCTGATTCTTCCTACTTAGCACCAGGTCCTTCAGCAGCACGTCCTCTGCTGCCGCCACCTGCCACTCCAAACCTGGAAGCTGAACGAGAGGCAATCCGACGCCAGAACATTGAGGGGAGGCTCGGTGGTATGTGTTGGCTTTTATTTGATGTATTTCCCTTCTGACATCCAGCAGACAAGTCTCTTGGAGGTCAAATTGCCCCCATCGGCGCTGGTTTGATGGCCCCTCCAGCAATAATTCCGCAAAGACAGAGTAGTGGCTCATCAGGTTTGTGCATTTTTCTCAACCAAACCGAATCTATCAAATGTTTATATTTATCTCTAGTCCCACAAATTTCTGTGCCTAATCAGTTGGCGGTTGGTCAACTGGCTGTGGCTGCTCCAAATTCTGCTGCGGCTGCTGCACAGTTCAACAGTCAGGGATATTCCTCTGCGCATGCTAGCTATGGGTCTCAATATTCTCTGTGGGGAAATATGGCTTATTCTGGTCTATCTCGGGAGTTTCTCACATTAAATATTGGTGTTCGCCACAAATTTCCTGGGAAACCAAACGGTGTGGTCTTTGGGGTATGCAAAATTGTCCCCCTACAAGTCTCCTGCACTGATTTTGCTTCTAGACTATCAACGAGGGCAAAAACATCAGTGCTCGAGCAACAGCAAGTGAGATCATCCAACTTGTGCTCGAAGTTGGTGGCGGAAAGCTTGCTGCCCAAATTGCAGAGGAGACCGCTTCTCAGTTTGTGTTCAACACCAATACTTTTGTTGTGCGCCAATTGGAAGGCTGGATCAACATTCATGAAGAGCCGCCGCACCAACCACTCCTGTATCACCGTTACCTCAAGCTAGGCACAGGCAAAAAACAGAATACCCTGGACTTTCATCGTCCTGCCAGGGCGCTTGTTTTTGTCCTTGTCATTCCTTACAAGGAATGGCAGCGCTTCCTCAATTTCCAGGAGGAGCAAATCGAACAGAGCGAGTCCAAAGGTAGTTCAATTAATCTACAGGTAAGTCCGTTTTCTCAGAGTACAAAGTCTGGTTGCTTATCCATTTCTTAGGCTGAATTTACTGAAGCCACAGAGCCTCTGGTCACTGAGCCTGCACAGTCCAAATCACGTATGCAGACTCGTTTGCAAAGGAAATCAAACTCAAGGACGACTCAGACAGCGGTGCGTCAATTTGAACCATTCAGTATTTCACCATTACTGATCATGAGACAGCCTCGGTCATCCATTCGAACTCGATCCATGCAAGGATCTGTCTCTGATCAAACTCGGGATGTCCAGTATGAGCTCCACAATGCAGAGATCATCTCCCAAAACACCAATGACAACTCTGTAAGTGAATCATGGCCTGAAGGTACTCATACTGACTTATATTTCTACTTTACATTAGATTTCTGCTGATACTCCTTCAAAAAAGCGCTCTGCCGAATCTGACATCGAGGAATTTCAGCCCTTGGACAGGCAGAGATTGCGAAATGCTCTGAATGCTGGCGGTGCCTCTGTTACCGTCTCCAAGAGTGCTTGTGAGTTGATTATCTTGATTAACTGGTCACTGATGAACACATTTTTCAGCCATTCACACATCTGAAACAATTGAGTTCTTCCGGATTCGCCCCAGCGGTCTCCAGGATTTGCTCAGGGAAAATCGAGCATTCAAGATTGAGATGTCCGCAGCCGAGGGTGGTACTTTGGCTCTAAAGCCATCAGCATCTCCTCTCGGTGTTGGAACATTCAAATCTGCTCATTCTGCCTACCTGACACTCACCCGACTTTCGGATACCCCATTGGGTGCCTCCCCTGGTCAGCATGTTGCGCTTAAACGCATGTTCAGGACCAGAGAGACGTTGAAGCGATTTGACCCTGTGAACGAGTATGAACACACCATTTCCGAGGCTAATTTGCTCTTCTGGGGCACAGCCATCCTTCGTTTCACCATGGGTTGGATTCACAATTTCATTGGCAAGTACGGGGCGCCGCCCGACGACCTTCCCATATTCAACATTCGATTTGTAGAAGCTGGAATTGCCATGGTTCATGAAGCTGCGGCAGCTGGGAGCTCTAGCAAGACAATGAGTTCTCTTCGACGGACCTACCTTCTAGAAGAGCTCATTGGAACAGGTAAGGAGATTTTCACAGTTAAAGCCTCTGCCTTATACAGTTATTTTCAGGCAAATTTGTCAAATACATCAATAACAATAGTGCAACTCCGGTTGCATCTTCCTGTGCTTCACTCAACATGTTCAATATGAGCAAACGGATGGTCTTGTTTTTCTCTCTGACCTGCAAGGTGAGTATTCTGGATTGGATATATATTCACGGCTTAGTTCTAACCCACCTTTTACTAGGATCCGGTGCTCTGTTGACTGATCCGCAGATTATGACATCCCCGTAAGTCCTTGAATGGCCCGGAACTCCAAACACTGATTGAATCTGCTTAGTTCCCTTGATGGTGGCCTCTTTGGTGGAGGAAACTACGGAAAATTCTTTGAGCAGTTCCCTGAGCAGCATGTCTGCTCTAGATACTGTGAGTTTTTCAAGTTATCTTCTCTCCAAGAAGATTAGCGAAAGTATTTGGGCAATGGGTATATTATTATGGAGGGAGACTCATTCTCCCCCGTAAACTCTATATATGTTGACAAGCATTGAAACGCCCTAAGTGATCAGTGGTGTGGCTGTGACGCATTAAGGTGCACAGCATTTGGTGGCTAAATGCTACGGGGTAGTGGTGTGGCTGTGACGCATTAAGGTGCACAGCATTTGGTGGCTAAACGCTACGGGGTCTCTGATGTGCATCAATCAACTGTTGATCACTTCATCATGTCACCTGTGATAGATGTGCGCCGCGTATCAGCATGTAGTTTTCGACCTCCATACTCAACGGCTTGTATATCAATCTTGGCGTCGCTGACTGAGACCCTGCCGTAGGGCACCAGAGAAAGCAAATCACGGTGCAGAGTAACTAGCGCGCCAACGTTTGATTCTCTGAGATTACAAAAGTAGCGTGGGTAATACTTCTCGTAACTCGAAGTCCGGAGGGAACATGGAGCCGGAGATGCAAGAGAAGTGAGTTGAACATGACGACACTTGATCTGGAACCTGGACACATGTACGGTGTTGAATTGTAATAGAATTCTATGGTAGAAAAACAGGCAAAGGGCAAGTTAGTTTACGATGTGATATTGAGAAATCACAAATCCGAATCGGACTGCGGATGAATCCTCTGACCAGTCCTTTCGGTACACGTGACTGACACATACTCTACACGTGAACCCTAACCCTGACCCATGGCGAGCATTTTATCGTTGCGAATGCAGAGGCTCCTTTCCTACTCTCCTAATGCTCCCACAATCAGCAATGCAACTCGATTCTCCTCATCAATTGACTTTCTCCTTATTTCCTTCCTGAACACACCTCCTAGGACTGATGCTTCTCCATTCGAGAATTCTGCATCATGCACTCAGCATTCCCCGCATTCAGTGAGGGATCGGGCTGTACTCCTGCCCTGTGCCTTCCCGTCGATCTCTCCGCGGCCTTCCAACTCTCCAAGCGATCACTTCCGCCCAATCCCGTCTCGTACGTCCGCGTGGGTACAAATAGGCGCTGGGTTTGCAAGCAGAACCTCAGAGCAAGAGTCTACTCTTTCGCCCCAGGCCGAAACTCCCTTTCCGACACATCCCTCTCTTTGTGAGTTGTCTCCCCGTCGTCTGGACTCTGCTGACGCTCTCGCCCAGACAACCCACGATGAGACTTTCCGTCGTCGCCACTGTCGTGTATGCCATGCTCGCCATGTCGGGAGCCAACGGTCGGCCCACGGTAAGCCTCCCTATCTTCTCCCCTATTCCTGCACTTTGTCTCACACGCGCACAGCGCCGCCAATTCGACGTGACGACCTTCCAGAACTTGACCCCGGCCGAGCGCCGGGACTTCATCCTCGCTCTCGATCCAGCGACGATCAACCTGTCCGACGACATGCTTTCCGGGATCAGCGCCTTCCCCGCCATCCAGCAGAGCCTCCCCGACGGCACCCCGCTCACCAACGACGTGCTCAAGCAGCTCGTCCTGGCGTATCAGGACGAGGTGCATCAGGCGGAGCAGGGCGGCGATACCACGGCGGGGCTGGCGCAGGTGTCCCGCAAGCGGGATGACGACGTTGATGGCGAGGAGATCGAGGTACGTGACGACGAGGGTACGGACGATGCCGCGGGCGCGGATGAGACTTCAGAGGACACTTCCGCCGACGAGGCGGCGCCCGAGGACCCTTCCACTGAGGGCTCTGAGGCGACCGAGACCACCGAAGATGCCTAGTTTCTGTCGCTGCACTCTTTCACTCTTTGGCCTTCCGGGTTATGTATCTGTTGTACCGAGCACTTGCACCACAATCTACCGTCCCTGTTTCTTTCCATGCGCAGCGATGAAGTTTTTGCTACTCAACTGTCGCCTATCAGGGCGAAGTGGTCACTCGACATCGGAGCCACTCATCCATGACCCATGATGAGCGGTGTAAATCTGAGTCAGGCGCCTTGTCGCGACAAGACGTTCGTGCCGATCGCCATACAACCACTGAAGACGCTGCGTGCGCGGGCAGTCCACGTCACTCACGAGCTATCCCCCAGCCGTGCTGCCACATCCATATCCGAGAACTGGACAATCTTGAACGTCTCACGATCATCGCCACGAACGCGAGCTCCTCGTTCTCCCCTATCACCCGATACCAGAGGCATTCAGGCATGGCGCTTCACCACGCGCAGCTATCTGCCTCCGGAAAGCGCAGCGATCGGGCCACCGCAGTCCGAGTCCAGCGTGTGCGTCGGCAGAGCTCCCTTGTTCCGCGCACTCGATAGGGTGGAGCAAGGCACGGAGCGCAATCGGCTTCTGAGGGTGTGCAGTCTCGGCGTAGCTGGCCACGGAGATGGGGATGTGTCTTCTAGAGCGCATGCCAAGTCGGGGATCGCTACCCCATGGTCGGGCTCGGTTTCGTCAACGAGAAAGCAACCGGGGACTGCATATTTGTCCTCGGCCAACATTTGCTGAAACCCCAATGTCGCCTCCTTCGTCCGGAAAGGCAGGCGTCGCCATAGGCGATCTCGATAGGAAAGCGATACTCAACACGCACGGAGGAAGTCATTGCCCTGAGACGGATCCATTTAGAGCATCGACTCATCTCCGTATCCAAGTGGACGAAGCAGACCCTCAGCTCGCCACCTCTCCATACGCAGCTCGAAGAAGCCCATTTGGCGTCTCATTCGGCCTCTCTCTATCTTCGACAGTCGAAATCTCCTCCGCAAGGCCATACGTCTCAGTCGTAAAACCCAGCCCATTCGGAGCCGGTCAGCGTCCATCGCCTCTGTGTCCGACAGCAGAGGGTAATATCGTTCCACGATGTGGGTACATGATTGGTCGAGACCTGGAGCGAATGCGGCTGATTCCAGAATTCACACGCTGACGTCGATGGCTGAAGCGCCAAAGCGAAGGAAGGTGCTCTGCGCAAGTTGTTATACGCGAAACGCGGTCATGTGATGCTCGCGCCGTCACGTCACATCGGAAATGGAGATTAAACTTATAGAACGGCCAGTAGTGAATCAATTAAGACTCGGAATCATATGAGTACACGGCAAGGTGTTTCTTTGGTTGATCTTATCTCAGACAACGCTTACTTTCGGAGCTTGGGTGTGCTCCTCGTGGATTGAACCGCGATCCACCTGGACATTGCTTGTAACGGCTACCTCAGTATCATTGAACGCCTTGAAGATATCCGCAAAGGGTTAGTAGAGCGATGAAAAGGAATTCCAACGAGGGGATCACTGACCAGAGTCGATGATCTGAACAGCAAAATCGTCTGTGCCACTTTCTCCTTGTGTGCGCGGTGGATGGCGCGGACATTCAATCTACAGCCATTGAATTTCGAAGAGAAGGGAGGCAGGATTGCTCACGAAGACAAGAGACTGTTTGAATAGACTTCATTTGCCGTGCCAGTCAGTCCGGTCGGGCGTAAGAGGGAAGAAAACTCACCTTTTCCAAGAACAGCGAGCACCCCAATCCAGACATCTGGTAAGCACTAGTCAGCAGCTTTCACGTCTCGAATAGGGATGTGGGCCCACAATTATGAGGCATTAATTGAAACTAAATGGTTCTTGGATTACTTTGCTGTATGCGATGTGTGAAATGAACGCACGCAGAGAAAGGTAGCGATGGAAAAGGCGCTGCAATGAATTTAATGGTTGTGTCCCATGAAAGTAAACGAGGCGTACCTGGTGATCAAACCCGTTTCTGAAAATATCAACGCTCAGCCTGCGAAGAAAAAGCAGCGAAACACCCACGGATCGACCAGAACATGATGCGGTTGCATAACTGAACCGTTCTATCAACTCCTCAGCATCCACATCGATCACCAAGCCTGTTTGGAAAGCCACTCACGACTCGAGACTATCGCCTGCACTGGGCGATTTCCACTTTCGAACGTAAAAGCACAAGCCCGCGGCGATCAGCGCGTCCACCACCGCCCCCGCGATGAACGTCGCGCTGACCAGCCAGCCGATCAGATTCTGCACAGGGAAGTACTGGCCCGGCGCTGTTCTCGGGTCGAGCACGAAGGTGAGTGCGGACAGGACGATCCCGCCTGCGGCGCGCAACAGGATAAGCGGGGCGATAGAGAAGGTGAGCCATGGATTGCGCGTGAAGCGGTAGACACGGTGGGCAAAGTGTGACTACAGCACAGTTCACGATCAAAGGGAGTTCTCGAGTCGCATCGAAAGCATACCTGCACCACGGTGGTCACCAGCGTCTCGAGTAGATTTGTGATTATGAAGATCCCCGGCATCTTCCTTGTCTTCCTGTCTCCGGCGACGACAGTCCATTGAAATATACCAATAATGATCGTGATCGTATGCGCCACTTCGAATAGACTGTCAGGCGCATCAAGCCGCGGCCAGCATCGACATCGCGCAGCGACTCACAAAACGATCGCAACCTGTCGATAAGACTCAGATGGGTCGTGGCTATCCTGAAACAAAGAAACTCACCATGATTCGAAGACTCTTAAGATCCTCGCTTCCGGTGTGTACAAAGTACACATACGTCTGCACGATCAGAATTCCAAAGAGGATCAGAGCACCAAAGACCCCGAGTTCGATGGCACCGATGCCCAATGGTCCGGCGATATCGAAGCTACTCGAGTTCATCTAGCAGGGGGAGGAGGGAGGGGAAGAGGGGCGGCAAGATGAGCAGGGAGAACAGGACACTCAGACGCCGTCCTATAAACTGCGCCGGCGCTGACACCATGCCCGCCGGGGACTTATACCGGACGGTGAATGTAAGCCTCCATCCAATGAAAGAGCACGGAACAGAATAGATGTCGATCTCGAAGACTTCTGACAGAGATGGCCGCGGAAGGAGGGCGACGAAGTGATCCGATTGTGCGTTGTTGGTGCGAGGTCCGAGCAATGAATTCCCTGCGGAGGGTACAGACGACAAAGCAGCTCTCATCGAGTCGCTGTCTTCAGTGGAAAAAAACAAGAACACGTCAAAAGTCCATCACTTGCACAGAGATTCTTGAAACAGTAGATTCCACCAAGTGAATACGTTGGGCGGGAGAAGCTGTTCGATGGGACTTCTCCCATATCACTGAGAGACATACTTACTACATGTGACTATCACATTTCCGAGCGCCAACCTTGCTCTCAACAGCCTCTTCAAAGGCCAGTGCAGCTGAGTGCTACACAATCATCAAAAGATTCGATATCTGAACAGATCATGATCGAGGGTCATACGCGTAGCCTCTGGTCGGGGGTGTGATCGAGTCATGTTCAGTGATGCGCTGACTAAATGTGCTGCTGACGAGATCCACTCTCTCCACGCGAACACTTGCAAGCGAAGAGAAAGTATATACAACAAAATTCTAACGCTCTACATTTCATTAATACCCGCATACTTTATCGTACAAAGGGAAGCGCAGCCAGATCAATGATTCTTGAATCCTCCAGGTTTGTACCTTGTGCAGAACACATCAGCACGGGTACATCCACCACGACGGGAGACCCACCACTGCCACCCCATCGCCACGAACGGAAGCGAAAAGCCGAAACCCATGTAGGCCAAGCACTTCACCGCGAACGTCCTTGAATTTGAGTAATCAAACGGCATGTTCTGTTTCGCAGTGCTATCGTCAGCGCGGGTAGAGTCATGGCGAGGGACGGGAGCTGACATGATAGGGCTGCCCATGGGAGAGCCTCCTGCCCCCGGCTTGCCACGCCTGTGTCTGGGAAGCGTTGTGCCGCAGTAGCGCGGTTCGCAGGACGGGGAGCGAGGCTCGTGTAAGCGAAGAAGCAGACATCGTGGTTTGTGCGCTGGCTCTGCTAGCTGGAGAGGTGTGATGGTGAATTGTAGTCCTTGTCAATCCCAGCCTCCATTATATATACACTCTCTGCGTAGTCGACAGCAGTCGGACATCCGATCACACAGCGCAGAGTCGAGCGCGCTCGAGAGCGTGTCCATCTTCAGACACGGTGTCGCAGTGCAATGTCTAGAACGACATGCGTGATAATCTGGACAGCGCCTGGGCGAGTCCCAACGTGGGGGGCGGAGTTCCGGATCTTGGCGTGGCTGGGTGATAAAGATAACCCTGGAGGGTCAGACAAGGTCTGGTACAGTGAATAGTTGGACACAAGCGATGTTAGAGACACCAGCTGCCCAAAACGTGGATCAGAGAGGACTCGGTCATGTGCTGCACCTACGGACAAGTCTTTCCGCATCTGTCATCCACGACATCCCCGGCAAAGCAACGGGTTCAGATGTTACAAAACGAGCACAACTAGATAACAACAGACATAGGCATAGAGTAGTAGAGAATGGGTCACATCAACACAGTACTCTTACAATGGGCAATCCTACGACGTAGCCTCCTCACAGATTGGAGACACTGCCCAGCAGACCAGCCCGACCGACGCTGTCCGACCCGGCCTCATTCTGGATCATCGCCCCGTAGTTGGATCCAGACGATGACGCACCGGCCAGCTGGCCAGTGACGTCCGACTGCAGCTGCATCGGCACAAAAATGACTTTGCTGTTGCCCGTCTTGGCCATCGTTTGCACTGCAGGATATGATATCAGCGGGAGGACAACTGTGACACGAAAAGGGACGCACAAGCTTCCAACTGCCGGATCTGCATCGCAGCGGGGCTGGCCAAGATGTCCGCAGCCTGCCGCATCAGCCTCGCGGCATCCACCTCTGCGCGGGCAGCGATGACCTTACTCTCTCCCAAACGCTTCTGCTGCGCGGCACTGCTCAAGCTCGCGCTGACCTCGGGAGAGAAGATGATGTCCTTGATCAGGATACCCTCAATGGCCACACCCCACTTGTCCGCGACGTCCCCCACAATCTCGGCGATCTCGAACGCAATCGCCTCGCGCTCAGTAACGACAGACTGCACCGCCCGCGCACCGACAACATGTCGGAGCGTCGTTTGCGCCCGCTCGATGAGCGCCGTGCGCAGGTCGCTGATGCCGAATGCCGAGCGGTAGGGGTTCGTGATTTGGAAGTAGATGACCGAGTCGCTGCGCCGGGTCAGTCACAAGGGCAGAGGCAGGCGCAGACGGCACACGCACATCTCCACATTTACGTTGTCCCGCGTGATGACGCTCTGCCGCCCGATGGGACTGATCTGGATCTTCACGTCCACTGTCTTGAGCGATTCCGTGCACACGTTCACCTGCACGAGACCCGGGTCGACGGACTTGTAGAATTGGCCGAAGCGGGAGACGAGTCCCACGGAACCTGGTCTCGTCTTAGCCTGCCAAGCACGAAGAGTGAAGCACAGCGGAGGACGGACGCACCCTGTTGCACCTCGCGGAACGGGTTCGGGAAGGGACAGCAGGGTACCATGCCGCATACACCGACGATGGTGCCGAGACCTTGCAAGAGCGAGCCGTACAATCCATGTTGCACCTGCGGGTCGCTTGGTCAGCGCACCGCACAAAGCCCGCTAACTAGGAAAGAAGCACATCACCCAGACCGAGATCTTGCGCGTAAGAGGGCTGAGAAATATAGTCAGCCCGCGGCACGATAGGTGGAGTAGCGCTGTGACTGCAGCCTGCCGCCGCGCGCGCGCTATGCACCTGCATCTCCCCTCGCTTCAACGGCTGCACTTGAATGATATGGCCCTGTTTCCCGGGCTCGGCGGCGCGCCGCGGAGCAGCTTCAGGCTCGTCTGTCACTGTGGTCTGCAGTCAGAAAGATAGCTCGAGGCTTGGGGTGGTAGGGCCATTGAAGGGAGAGGGAGATGATGCGAGACATAGGAAACAATACGGACCATGCGGAGCGTTGTGGTCGACGACGTGCCCGCCATGGGAGCTGGACGAGGACGCGTCACGATCTTTCCTGTCGAAGCCGTTCATCTTGTAGCCGCTGGGGGGTAGAGGGCTAGAGGGCGAAGTGTGGGGAATAGAAGGCAGTGGACGGACGACTTTCTTACATAAAGCGATCTGTTGACACGCGCAGTTGATCGGCACAGCTTTACTTCCCACCTTCCGACGTCATACGCCTTGGCCCCTCTACCCAAGCATCTTTGAAGACTCGATTCCGTAGATTGGAAACTTACTTGTTATATCACTGGCGAATTGGGAGAATTTGCTGACAATGAAGCAATTGCACTTGGTTCAAAACTATGGGTCCTTCCCGTCCTACCCTTTACAACTGTACATCTTTCAGCCGTGCACGCACAACTTGACTGCTCTTGCCGTCGGTTGTGCTGCCGATTCTGTGATTGACACCTCTTCACAAATTGCAGACGGAGATGACGATACGAATCACTGGGAAGTTGAGCTAAGAACGCGTGATCCCCGGATGCGGGCTTTATGAATGACCGAAGATCATTATCAACGCGGGGACATGACATGTTTTTCTGCGCGTAGGGTCTGTTTCAAATGATCCTCTGCCATACTTCCCCGGTTATATGCGATCCGGACTAAGAACCTTTGCTGCTGCAGTGTTTCTCGTTCTACGTGCGCATAGACCCGGGAGCCCGCTCCACAGCCGTCCGTTCGCCTATGAAACATCTTGATCTCTTCCCGATCTAAAGTGGCGACTGTCTTGAACAAACTCAACTCCCTCCCCGATCATCGACGGAAAACTGCGCCAAGATTGCTGCGGAACTCTCAGATCGAGCCGACTGGGCTCGAACAGCTTCGGACAAGAGTCGAAGCGGGATGTGAACAAGCTGGGTGTTCTGGGGCGCTGCCAAATGAGCTCCACGGTGGGAAAGTAGGCTGTTCGAATTCTGCAACGAATACCGCACAAGGCGCGCACTTAGTGACTTCGTGAACAAGAGTTATAAATAGTATGAGACGTGTGTTATTGGTTCGAGCTCATGCAGTATTCAGGCCGGGACTGATAACCTTCAACGACAAGGAGATTACGTTCATTGGGGCGAACAAAACTGAACCGAGTTTGTAATGATTCTTGTATTTTCCGAGTACATGTACTTAACAGCAGAGGATATAAAAGTGGGATACAGTCAAGATAGTCAAAGCATGGCACGAGTACAAGCATTTGTACATATTGTATTGCAATGTTTCAAGTAATCAAGCAATCGAGTCACAGTCATAAAGCAATCGAGTTCCTATGATGAAGCAATCAAGTTCCAGTCAAAAGCAATTGAATCCAAAGCAGTCATCCCGAGCAGAGAAATCAAATCCGTCCAATGAAGCAATCGAAACCAAATGCAAGCAGTCCGTTCGTTCTTTGTCGGTCGGCGTGGTCTTCCATGACTCTCCACCGCAACACATCACCGCCTCCGTCTCTGACTCAATCCCCTCTCCATCGGCCCCAGCACCTGTCCGACCCTCGCGCTCTGGTTGCGCACCATCCGGCGCGGCGCAAATCCACACTCATGCGGCGTTCCAGCCACCGGCACGCGTCGCATCTGATCAAGCACCTCTCGTCCCGGCCCGCGGCGAGTCCGCCGGCGATCGAACCCGCGCTGCCCGGGAATACCAGCCACCGGCAGACGGACGACCCGGACGACCGCTCCGGCTGCGCGCTGCCTGCTCGAGCGCGCGAAGGACCCTCTGTGCCCAGGGACGGCGGGGATGGGCATCCGCGTCGTTGCCTGATTCGGCATGGACTTGCGCTGGGGCGGGGCGGCGACTACGGCTGCAGCTGCTCTGGATGGGTTCTCGATGGATCCTCGGCGACAGGAGATCGCGGCGACGGGCATCTGCTTCGACATCTTACTCGGGATGGACTGGACGTCTCCAGCACCCTGTCTCGGCATCGGCATCCGCACGGCGCCCTTTACCCTCCGTTTGACTCCCTGCCTCTGAGGAGCAGGATGTGCGCCAGACGCTCCGCTCTGCAACGCCGAAGGGGCCTCTGAATCCAGGCTCGGCAAAGCACACACCACCGGGATGCTGCTGACCGCGGGCGGCAACACTCTCCTCACTCTCTTCTCGCGGGCTGGTAGCAGGAAGCAGTCAATCTGGAGCACCGTGTCCCTGATCTGTTTGAGTGTTGGTCGGTTCCGAGCAGCGGGGTCCAGCATCCAGCGGATGAAATTCGTCGCGGGAACGCTAAGCCGGACGTATTTGTTCAGGAAGGCGACGGGATCGGTGCGGAAGGCGGCGTATCGTTTGTCAGAGACATGCGCAGCTTCCCAGGGGTAGCTCCCAGTGACGAGAACTACGAAGGTGATGGCTAGCGCCCAGTAGTCGCATTCCCTGGCAGAGTAGACACCGGATCTACCGGCCTCCATAGCCTCTGCGAGACGCAGATCAGATGACACGGACTGGACAGCGAGCAGGGGTCCACGCACCGGGACTCATGAACGACGTCGTCCCCCACTGGCCATCCGTCGGCCACTCGTCGCTCGTCGCCAGCCCAAAGTCCGCAATCCTCACCTCGCGGCCGCGTTCGTCGCAGAGGATGTTGCCCGGCTTGAGATCGCGGTGAAACACGCCCCTGTCGTGCATCCGCCCGACGGCATCCACCATCTCGACGAACAGCGTGCGAATGACATCGGGCCCGCGCCTGCGGCCCCTCTCGACGACGGCGAACCGGTGCACGTCCATCGCACAGAGCTCGAGAACGACGAACACGAAGTCGTCCTCGATGAACGCCCGCTCGAACGAGACGACACCCGGGAGATCCTGCAGAAATGCGTGCAGTCGCAGCTCGCGGCGGATCGCGGTGACGTGCGGTGTCCCTAGTGCATCGTTGCGGAGACACTTGACTGCGTACAGCGATGGGTCGTCGGATGGTGTCCTTGTGTCGACGGCTCGATAGACTTTCCCGAAGCCTCCGGCGCCGAGGAAGGAGGTGAGGTGCAGATGCCCAGAGTCTATGCGGGTGTTGGTAAGATCGGGTAGATGAGAGGCCTCACGAGACATGACAAGACAGGGTTAATGTAAAACTTGGCAAGGTAGTTCAAGTAAGAAGCTGTTCAGAATCGTTCAGCAAGCGCAGGTGAGAACTTGAGAAGGATCTGTGTTTTGTAAGAGAGCCCCAGAGAGAGAAGCGCTTTTGTCGTCGACTAGGACGTGGAAGCAGAGCACGAAAAGTGGCAAGAAAAGGAGGAAGCCACATCAGTGTTTAAATATGGAAGGGTGCAGGTCTCAGATTTTGGTGTCTTAGTGAATTCGCCGCTCTCCTGTCCAGTTTCGATTGCGGAATACATGAGTGTAAGCACTTGAATCTGCTGCTTGAATACTTCAACCTCGATTCGCAAGGAAGAAGACGATAACTTGATCAGCGGCAGTGCCTTTGAGGTCGAGGCTGGTCGAAGTCGGAGATCGAGCTAGTCGAGGGGAGCAAGACTAGACAGGATCACGGGTTGTACAAAGTACCGCACACAGCACGACCGCGCCACGCATTCAACGATTCTATCACGAACTCTTTGATCGCGAGAGCGACTAATAGCTCGGTAGATTCATGACACATGGAGAAGAATAGGTGGCTAAGCTGATGAATATTGACTTTTGAGGTTATGGCATTCTATCTGACAGCGAATCTGTTGCCGCGACATGAAGCGTTGCGACTGCACCCCAAAGCAGCAATCGACTTGAAGGGAATTCTCCCTTCGCGATGGAGACATGCAGGTTCTAGGTCTAGGTCAAAGTAGCTGTGCCTTTTGCTGTCAAAGCAAATGTGCGGGTATGTCACCGGTTTAGTGCAGGAGGGGACAGGTATAGAGAAGAACGTCCCGGATCCCGAATCAGCAATATACGCATTCCAGCAGAGTCCCGATTTCGGGTATACGCAGTTGTGAATGGCAGTCTTGAGCGACAAATCGAGGTTTTAAGTTAAAAGCGAGAGGCTTCGAACTTGCCCATCCAAAGTCCACGTGACCGCTCGACGCACGGACCATCAGTGACTGTCACCTTAGCTCGCGCAGCTTGGATATCACCTCCTGCATATCGCCCTGGTTCCATTCGCCCATCCAGCCCTGCTTCGGCTCCGCCCTAACCACCGATGTGCTCCGCAGATGGCTGACCCGCCGGCTGCTCTTCTGCCCCGCCACCACGCTGACGACCGAGCTCACTTCGACGAGCCCGTCCATAAACGGCGTATCCGCCCGAACCGAACCATGTGTGGAAGTGCTTGTCGCCTGAGTATAAGTGTATCGGTCGTTGACACCCCCGAATGCCGACATAAAGGACAGGGCCGATTGCGGCCGCACTGAGTGCGCGTCGGACTCGCTCGGGGCCTCCTCGTGTCGGTAGCTGCGGCCGTGCAGGTGGTGCTGGTGGTTGTAGCTGTTCCTGCGGCGGGGGCGAGGCGGTGCAGGCAGCGATGCGGCCACGGGTGTCACTGGCCCGTCCGAGTCCGTATGCCTGTCTTCTGACAGCTCCGACGCGTCATCTCGCGTCGGGCCTTCGTCTTCCACTTCCCTGCCGCCGGCGCTGCTGCTGCTGCTCGCTTGGTGCTCCCCAGCCGAAGAACCGGGAAGCGTAATCGGGCGGAACAGGATGGGCGTCAGCGGCGGGGTCTCCTGGTCCGCGCTCCCAGCAGTGGCGTAGTCTGCGTCGCCGCCGTCGTCCCCTCTGCGCCCCTCGAACGAACCCCCGCCAGACCCGGAGTCGGAAAACACCGAGCAGCCTTCGTCGTCGTTTTGGCTCTTGCTCGAACCCGATCCCGATCCCGAGCCGGACCGGATGGAGCTGTACGACGACTTGCCGAGCAAGCGCGCGACTTTGCTCCTGCTGTTGGGGTGGGTGGGCCGGGGCATTGCCAAGGAGAGGACGGAGTCGACGTCTGAGTAGGGATGCACATTCGTTTGGTGGAGGGGTGGTGTGCCTGTCATTGCAACGTGCAGGGCGGGTCGCCGGCGCGAGGGGCCCGCAACTGAGTCGCCATCGGAGGAGGATTGGGAGGGCGGGCCTCGCTTGCGGCGGAGGCTGAAAAACGGGGGCCCGGAGGAGCCTTTGGGAAGGCTGCGTTCGGAGAACGTAGACGCAGCAGGACTCGTTGGCACGGACACCTTCCCCTTGCCTGTCGCGCTGGAGGCCTTGTGCTTGTCGAGCTTGATCAGTGGCTTGGGCGTCTTTGCCGTCGAGCTCTCGTACGCGACATACATCGACGGGGGCGAGCGCGGTCGTCCGGGCCTGCCTCGAGCGGACATGGTGGTTCGTGTGTGAGTGAAGGCGACGGGGATTGGGCTTCTCTGTTGAGCACCATATTCTTAAGCCATCCTTGATGAGATCTACCGATCCCCAATAGACTTTTCATGTCGGTCAATAACTGATCCTGATTCGTTCTACACGCTGTCCTTCGGTGATATCACCTTGGGCACCCGAGCCGAACGCCTTTTGAAGGGATATATAACGCCGGGCTGAGCAACATGTCGCGCTGGCCAGCCCTGCTATCACAATCTGCTCGACGACGCTTGCAGTTCCAGTGACTGTAATGCCGCCACGGACGTCAACCATGGGATTGAGCGGGTGTGATAGAATCAGCTCCATCAAGTGTCCATGTCATGGCCGCAGCGGGAGTGCATCCCAACTTCTTGCTCATGCATGGAGGGTTCGAATCTGGCTGGTCACCATCTCCAAGGAATTGCCGTCCCTGTACAGAAAAGAACACCGCGGGACGGGTCAGAACAAGGAAGGTCACACGACTGCGAGTGTCGGGGCAATATCTGCCCTCGTAACTCCAGGAACATGGAATGGAAACATAAAAGGAAACGAGCATCTTTCCTGGCCATGGGGGGCGAACGAATCAGCTTTGCCTGTCAGATCTATAACGCGTGGCTACCTCCGATGTGGGTGACATTCGTGGGACGGCATTAGTCCGCGAATGGTATTTCTCAGGGCATGCACCAGCGCTTGGCGAGCTCCCGAGTTAACTCAGGGTATAGTAGTGCACGGTGTCTTTGTCTGTGTACGTATCTACAGCGGGGGACCACTGCTCATTAGGGATGCTCCAACTCCAGCCGCCGCTGTGCCTGAGGCTTGCACAGAAATTTATCACGCTGTAGAAATCTCGAGCTGAGGTCGGGAGGTCGAGGCCTCTGGCGGGAGCAGTATCTAATCATTGTCACAACAGCACGATCTAATCAGATCAGAGATCAACAATCACCGCCATCTCTGATGAGAACAATGATCGTATCTATTAATGATTGCATCAAATGTCCTGTGCTCGTGCGAACATTCCGGGCCGCAAGACTGCAGGCGAGGGACAAGAGGCTGTCTTCCATTGTCCGATGGCGCAGGAGGGTTTCCCAAGTGAATCTTGACGCAAATCGGACTGATATAGTCCACTCCCTTACCCCTCTACTTATCTCCACGTCTCACGAGGATCCAACAACTGCAGAATATACCTTGGTAACCTAGCGCAAAGTGTCATATATTGGAAGCACTCCCCATACCCAATAACGCATATCTTATCTCGCCTCGAATTCCAGATGTTTTGATCGAGCGGTGACCGCCACGGCGATACCCCTCTTGCCCGTCGGCAGGACCGGCGGAATTCGCTCGGCCGAATCTAAATATGGGCCGGATCAGCTAGGCGGAGGCAGTAGGCAAGTGCAGTCGAACCGCCCAGTAGCAGCTCCGAGTTGAATTCTGTGGCACAAACCCCTGAGGGGAGACACGGCTTCAGACCTGGATGTCCGCCGGTGTCTTCGGACAGTGTCCACAGCAGTCAGGATGTGGAATGATGGAGGTTGATTGAGATGATAGGCACGCCGAAGTCGTTACAAAAATATTCGTGTAAGCGGTTGCATGCGACTGCGTCCCCAGGAGACGATATCGAGCAGCGGGTGCTTGAACAGTTTATTCGTTGCGAATTGGATGGTTGAGACGCCGGCTTATCGCAGCAGATCATGTGGCTTCTGCGAGCTGCTTCAGGCTCCGGAAAACTGAAACGCGGAAAAACATGATTGGCGAGGATGATGGAACGTCGTAGCAGCGTGGCGCATTCAACGTAAGCGCCTCCGTCACTGTCCTTTATCTTTCGATGCGGAACAGCTGGTGCAGTGTCGCCCCCCTCCCCCTTCCGGCCCCTCCTGCACCAGCGAAGAAATGCGTCCCGGCCATGTTCGGACGTTGCTCGCGTCCCTTTTCTTCGCTCCGGCAGCCTTTGGCAAGATCGCACCGAAGGTCATGATTGTCAGCATGGTGCGTCCGAGCTCCCTCCGGTGGCGCCTACCAGCAGCACTAACATGAGGCAATCCCATTCAGTTCATTAATGAACAAGATGCGTGGTGGGGGATTCCCGAATTCAACGTTCTCGAGAAGAACATCACAGTCCCGGGCCTGTCGCCCATCTTCCCCCAGATCCACTGCACGAAGAACACCGACATCTGCCAGGTCACCACCGGAGAAGGCGAGATCAACGCGGCCAGCACCCTCACCGCGCTCCTCTACTCCAAAAAGTTCGACCTCACCTCCACCTACTGGCTGATCGCCGGAATCGCCGGCGTCAACCCCAAGGTTGCCACGATTGGATCCGTCACCTTTGCCCGGTATGCGGTGCACGTCGGGCTGCAGTACGAGATCGACGCCCGGCAGATGCCGAGTAACTTTTCCACCGGCTACTTTCCCCAGGGCTCGTCGCAGCCTGGCGTGTTTCCCCCTGAGCTGTACGGCACGGAAGTCTTCGAGGTCAACGAGCCGCTCCGGCAGATCGCCTACCACCTCGCCAAGAACGCGACGCTCGCCGATAACGACGCAGCACGCGCCCAGCGCAGGCTGTATGCTGCGACGCCCGGCTTTGCGGCGGGCGGATCCCCCGCGGGCGTGGGCGTGTACCTGTGCGACACGGCGACGTCGGACCAGTACTGGGACGGCTCGCTCCTCGGGGAGGCGTTTGAGAACACGACGAGCGTGTGGACGAACGGCACCGGCGTGTACTGCACGACGCAGCAGGAGGACAACGCCACGCTTGAGGCACTCCTCCGCGGAACCCTCGCCAAGCTCACCGACTACTCCCGCGTGATTATCATGCGCACTGCGTCCGACTTCGATCGGGCCCCGGCTGGCGAGAGCACGTACGACAGTCTTACGGGTGACACGCCTGGATTCGGCCCGTCCATCTTGAACTTGCATCTGGCGGGTGTCAAGGTTGTCGAGGCGATTGTTGGCGATTGGCATGCGACGTATAAGAAGGGCATCAAGGCCACCAACTACATCGGCGACGCATGGGGATCGTTGGGTGGCCAGCCGGACTTTGGGCCTGGAAGCATCTTTGGGGGCAAGGGCGCCTTTGTCGACGATGACGAGGAGGATTGATCTGGTCGTCGTATCTTACATAAGTTATCATGTGACACAGTATCCTAGATTCAGTAATTTCCCCGGGTGCGTTCACCCAGTATATACATTCGAGTACACTTGCTTTGCGCGAGATACATTTATACATGGATGGTCCATTTACACCGAGTCTTCCTTCTTCACCACTTGGCGTACGGCAAGAACTTGCCACTGCACAGCTGATTAGATCGATCGACATGGATAAGATATAGCACGCACTCAAAGGTGAGGACAACTCGGTCCCCCTTCGGATCGGGCTTCTTAGTGATGTTGACCTGGTCGTAGTTGAGGATCCCCAGGTTTCCGGGGCGCCGATCCAACCACGCACCTTGCAGTCAATCATGCTCATAATCCCATCCCCGAACTTTTCGTGGATGATCGCTTTGATGGCATGGCCATAGACTAGCACACTCTGAAAGTAGCAGACATCAGTCTCGGAAGTCTGTGAATTCAATGGAGAGCAGTCCATACGCACCTCGTATAGCCGATAAATCACAGGATCCGTGGGTGGCATCGGGCCCAGTCCACGGTTAGGCCACCAGGAGTCCCCGGTCTCGGCTGCAGCGCTGTCGAACGGAACATCAAGGAAGGCGGACACCTTCTGGATTTCTTCTGGCGTGAATTTGGCCTGTGTGAGGATCCGTTTCGTACGATGCCGCCAAATCTACTAGAGACTGCGGTGCCCACCTGACCGTAGAGCGCCGCGGCAACCCAGACCTCGTCCTTCCCGATCGCCTTCGCTATGTCATCGAATGTCACACCTGCAGTCACCTCCCGGTCAGTGGGGTGCTAGTGCGCTCCGCAGCGTCTGGGTGTGCGTACCTTTACGAGCCTTCGCCTCGAAGAACGCGGAGTAGGGGTTTAAACTCAAAGTCTGTTCGGGCAGTGAGTTCTAGCGTGCGGGAGCATGGACAGGGCGCGGACTGACACTGGCTTGAGACATGGTGCAGGCCAAGCAGATTGCAATGCCCGATGGCGCGACGATCCCAGGCTACTTATTTACGCTTGCCAGATGCGGTCACATGAGGGATCAGCCGGACGACTCGGAATCGGAGGGCATGATAGCCGGTCGAGGCCGTGTCCGGGTCGGAGGATGTCGGGAGGGACGCTGGCCATGTGTGACGTCATATGTTGTTCGTGGAGGTAGAAGAGCCAGTCATGGAGCAGTCATCGGAGGAAGAAAACCATTAGATGTGTTATAGATACGTCGGCGCCGGAGGAGCCATGTACCGAAACGGAACAACTCGGGCATGTGCTGTCGCGGCCGCCAGGTTTTGCACGTGACCGTTCAGTGCCCTTGGGAGAATCGAAAAAGGTTTTGAGTCTCACTTTGAGCAGTGGACTAGATCGGCATAGAGCATGAAACTCATAACTGCAGATAAATTTTAAATCTGGTCTTTTGCGTAGAGAAGATGGTGGTTTAGGCTCACAGGTAATCGTCCACGCTGTGTCAAAAAAATGGCAGATCATTGACTGAAGCGAACGCAGGAAAACTACAATTTCAGTCGCTCATGTCAGCAATCTGTACCGAGATTTCCATCCGAGAAAGTTGACCGAGACAGAACTGTAGTATGACATGTCCCATGTCCCAGTCTCTGAAGCCACGCGCCGCAGGGAACAAATCCACAATCCAACGACTGGCATGTGCTCGGCACGTAAAAGAGACTGGATTTGGCCTCCCAATACTTCGCTACCGTGAACAGGGATCCCACCTTCTGGATAGAGAGTTCTTGTTCCGGGCATGCTTCGGCAAATGCTTTTTCTAGCATCTCCCATGAAGCCTTCACGGGATATAGCTGCAGCCGAATAGGCCGAGGAATTGACTCTGGTTCCACCACATTTAGCAGCACGGCTTGTAATATATTATCGCGCTATCGCTGAGACATTGAGACCAGCGGATCGAATAGAGAGTGACTGACTAGCGGGCGTTTTAACAGACCTTGTGGACTGCTTTGCCGCCACGAAGAGTCAAGTGCAGAGGTTTCAAGCCAGGACTTAGTATTAAGATAACGTTAGCGATATCCACAGTCAGGAGTCGGTCGTTGGCGTTAAACATGTCGGGTGAGAGTGGGTGCGATTGCTGCCGACTAAGAGTAGTCAGTAGCAGCCTCCGGTGAGTCGAACAACCCAAAAAGGAAACACAAGCTTTGTCCTGATCTGTCACTTGACGGGCTGGACTGCAGTCCGACCAAAGCGCCGCTGAGGTCTCCAGCCAGCATCCGGATTCTTCTCCCATCCCGTCCTTGTGAGACTGTCTATGAACACTCGATGCTTCGCTCCGTCGCACACCTGTCTCAGGCGGATATGCGCGGATGCCCATCCTTCAGACTGACTCTCTTATCCGCGCAACCCTGATTTACACGCGCAAAGCTATATATTCTCAAGGGCAGGGTTGCACCAAACGCTTCATTTCACACGTCTCTTCATCGCACGCGACTACCATGCACTCCTCTGCCTCCAACGCACTTCTCACGTCGCTTATCCTGGCATCGTCGCAGTCCAGTGTTGCTTCCCTGCTCGCCTCGCCCTTCGTCTTCGGCACATTCAGCGGTGGAGTCTTGCAAGCTGCTGAACCTCCCGCCTCCCTAGCCTCAGCTCCTGCAGCACCGCCCTCGACCAACGCCGGGTACAACTTTGCCGGTCTGCCCTTCGATGTCACGTATACACCCGTCAATGCGCCGATCGGAGTTGGAAGCGCCGTAGGGGCGCAGGGCAGTAGCAGTGCCTATTTGAACGCTGTAGCTGGAGGGAAAAGCTCCGTCGGCGCACCCGCCACAGCTCCTACTGGCGCGATCCCAGTCAGCTCCGGTGCAAGCTCCAAGTCCGGTATCACGACGGCGACCATATCCTCGTCGACGCTCTACACATCTCTGGGCAGCGTCGTCACAGCGTCGGGCTCGCTCAACGATTCACTCTCGTCGCTTCTCAAGCAGCTGACGGGGTCGAAGAACAGGAAGGATACCGTTGCAAAGGCCCTGCCGAATATCCAGAGTCTGTTGATCGCTGTGTCCGGTACGCTGAAGGGTGTCATCTCGAATCTGGTCAGTCTCCCTGTTATTGACTTCATCAGGCTGTATGGAGCTCACACTCGTGATCAGAACACTCCGACGGCTGCAAGCGACGGTGACCGCATCGTCCACGAGGTCAAAGTCCTCGCCCAACAGATTTCGTCCTCCGTAGACAAAGTGAGCTGTCTCGGGCTTCGTCTGGATCCAGCTCATGGTCTTAATGCAGATCAGCACCGTTGCTTCGTCCGGGGCCGATCTCTCGACGCTGTTCCCTCCGCTTCAGACTATCCAGTCGGAGCTCCACGTGCGTAGGACCCCGCTCATCTACACCTGTAGTCCTGAAGGCGTTCGCAGACCATCTTCAGATCACTGACGACTCAATTCACTACCATGTCCCAGTCGCATGTGCTCGCCGATGCCCAAGCAATGCTGACGAGTTCTGTGGAGAATGGTTTGACATCCATTTGACGGTAAATGTCTCTTTTCAGTCTGTAAAGGACAATGTAGATGTACATGTATCATCCTCGCTGCGTGTACATGAATTCTATCTACGGTGGATCACATCACTGAAATCTGGAAACCTTACATCAAAGACTTGTCTTCATCCGCCATGTCGGTCCGATCGCCAACTACACCCAGTAGAAACGCAAGTTCTCAGGAGATCACACACGAAAGTATCAGGACCTTTCTCGACTCTGACCAATGGAACGCTCATTGGAATCAAAGTCCTCGCTTTGAGCTACCAGCGCAGCTGGCGGGCTTGATCTCTCAGTCCCAAGGTGATCCCGTTCTTCTCTGGAGTCCCTCATCTCATCTCGCCACATAGCTGCTCTGGTGAGCAAGCACCTAGCATGTGTCCAGTCCAGATACACCTCCATGCGAAGCGTCGGTTTATTCGATGCCACTGCGAGTAAGCTTTGCCGTTCGAAGCTTCGGGTTCGTCGCAGATGAATCTCGCCAGGACTCTTCTCGGACCTGCATAACTCCCGCAGCCCCTTCCGACCACCGCTACCCCCAACGACTATCTTCGCTGCGGGTCTCAGCGGCTTCGATCGCATCGACGAGCGTGGATGGGACCGCGCCGGATACCAAGCCGTCGACGGCCATTCGCAGGAGGGCTGGGAAGATCGGACGCAGCACCAGATCGCGCTAGCGATAGAGATGAGCAGGATTTTCAAGGTGCGTCTCCGCCCTGGTTCCGGTGCGGCTGCATGAAGCTTGAAATCTGCACGAATCTACATAGATCCCGGCTGGCCAAACAGTCGCGTACGATCCGTGCTACTCGATCGTCGACGTCGTGCTGCTCGCTGCACTAGGAATCAGAGCACTACGCAAGGGGGAGGCGGATGTATGCGTCTACGTCCACAAGCATTTCGCCCTGTTCATTATCATTATCTCCTCTGCAGCTTAAGCGGCTGCGCGTTTTCAACACCCCGACGCTCTTCTATGCACCTGGCGCCGAAGAACACGTCGTCTCGGATGCCCTGCTCCGGACGCCCGACATTGCAAACCTTATATACGTCGGCAGCGACCTAATGGGATGGTGGGAACACCGTGAGGAGATACTCGCATTCGGTGTGTGGCTCCCGAACATCGTATCGTCTCATCGCTGACCGAAGCGGCAGCGAACAGCTCTAGATCCCTCCCGCTACCCGAGTACCTCGTTGTACCCCCGAAGGGCGAGGCGAGAGAGGCACCCTGTGGACAGGGTCTGTGTTTGCAATGGATCCCAACGGGCGACAGCGTCGCCGAGTTCAATCGAGTGCGCGGTCCCGCGAGAGAGCCAGCAACGCGCCGGGTGCGTTGGCCGCCCAGCTGCTCTCCCTAGCTAAATCCTTCCAGTTGGAAATGCCAGACGGTTCCACCGAATACGATGATTAGGCCTCGACCTAGGCCGGTAGGTAAGTAGGCTGGTAGACAATCAGCATCCAGGCAACCGTAGTGATACTGAATTCCAGCAACGGGCCGCCGGCCTCATGGTAGCGCTTCTACGTAGCTTCGACTTCGGGAGCATACTGGATCCTTCCTGTCACGGTGAGATCGTGCGGGAGGTAGAAGCTGTGTGCTTGCATTCAGAGGGCTATAACTAAATGTAGTCCCTGTTTTGATGACAAGAAACAAGACATAGCCGCCTAGTATGTACGTAGATGTATGCAGAGAAAGACCGTCAGTGTCAGTGATTTGGGTATCATTAGGTAGGTAAGAATAGTAGTGCGTGGATGTGTGCCATCAGTCGACATTTTAGCGGGGCATTACGACGAGCTTCACAGGTACTCTACGGAGAATGACGAAACGAATGACCGTGTACGTTCAAAGTACGAGTGATATTCAAGCGAGAACCATCGCGAACAGGCTGAGCGCAAGACCGAGAACACCAGTCTTGACGTCAAAGGCGGCCTCGGCAAATCCAGCGCTCTTTCCAGAAGCCGTCGAAGCTGCGATTCGAGGTAAGAATCCGGCTAGAACGAGGATAGGAAGATTCTACTCACCAGCGGCAGAGGTCGTGTGCGAGCCAGTGGCAGCAGCACCACCAGTAGTCGCAGCAGCGCCAGACTGGGACCCGCTAGCACCCGACGAGCCAGAGGGAGCAGGTGTGGCACCAGCGGCACCGTTGATGGACAGGCCGTTGGAGATGGATGCCGTGGTGACACAGTTGGAAGAGCTGGGGGTGAAGTAGACGGTCGTCGGGGTGACGAGGTCACCGATGGTGACGGGGGTCGCAACACCGTTGTTCGTCGCCGTGTAGGTGAAGCGCTGCGCAAAGGTGGAGAAGGCAACCGGGGTGGCGCCGTTGAACGAGGTGGGGTACCAGCCGGGCGGGTAGGCAACATCCGCGTCGCAGGTCTCGCTGTGACACTCGTCAGGGCGGTGCAAATGGTAAGGATCAGCGGGCAACGCACAAGGTTCCGTTGAAGTTGTAGTTTCCAGGCATGTTGAAGTCACAGCCCATCTCGTCAAGCTCGTGCCAGCACATGAATGCGGACGAGTACGTCGAGTTGGCGTTCGTGCACGCACGGAGACAGAACTGGTTGTAGTCGATAAACATCATCCACTCAGCAAGTGGCTCGTCGACGCCGTCAACGATGTTGGTGGTGACGTTACCGCCAATGGGGTTACCGGCGCCAGTGGCACCGTGAGGGTCCAGCTCCCCACCGAAATCACCGGCAGGGATGTTCAGCTTGGTGAAGTCGCCATAACCCATGATCTGCACATAGAACGGTGTCTTGAGGAAGGACACGCCGGTGAGGGTACCATCGGGGATGACACGGGCGTTGTTTCGCGGCTTAGTGCACCAGGCAACTTCGAAGGTCTGCAAGTATCCTGTGTGAGCTGTCTAGTGACTTTAAGTGGCCGTGAAAACCGCACCTCAGAGTTTCCGATGTCTTGCAAGGCCGGAGGCGCAAAGATACAGAAATCGTCAACCGAGTTGATACTCAGCAGACGGGCGTCGGAGCTCTGGTTGACGGCGGTGCCCATGGTCGCCACTGGGGGGTTGGTCACACCCTGGGTACCGGTGGCGATAACGCCTTCGGGGAAGGAGGAGGAGGCAGCGGCGGCAGAGCCGGCGAGGAAGAGGAGAGCGCAGAGAGACATTGCGGCGAAGAGGGTGAAGACGGTGGGGGGAAGAAAGGAATGGGATGAAACGTTTGATACTCACACGCCAAATGGACAACAACTGGAAGGCTGACAAAGCGGCACATATATACTGTAATTCTATTTTTAGCTCCGCTTGTTCCCTGCCGCCGCTTCCGATCGTGCTCGCCCGTCGCGACCCTTTTCTCCTGGCTTGTGACGACCCGAAATCGACGGAGAACTGCTATCGTTTAGGCCCAGTGGGCTGCTTCACAGTTTTCCTATCGCCATCTCCAGATGCTTCAGCTACAATCTAAACCAGGGTCTCCATATCATCGCATCATGTGGTGCAGCAGATGGTCACCCCAAATAGACCTGAGCGGCCTCTGATCTCCGCTCCATGCCGAGACTGACATCGCCGAAGAACAGGTCCGTTACTTTGTCAACGAGACTGCTTCGGAATAGTGTGCTCAGGTTTTCGCTTGGTTCATGTAGGGTCAGGACTGGTGATATTCCATCAGGGCAGACTGGAGATCACAGGAAGACATCAAAATGAGCGAGGACGATTCAGGAGCGAAGAACTCCTGTGTGCTTCATTCCCAAACATATATGTAGCCTGGGAGCTCCAATGCAGATAACCCGGGACCCGGATCGGCTACTGAGCAGAGGGAATACCACGCCTCTGAGCTCCTTTCTTCACAGGATCACTGTGCAAATATATCTTCGCGAGGTTCTGCGCCGACTGGATGGTACTTTCCTTCGCCCGTCCCATTCCATTCAGCCGTACTGAACAGACGGTCCCCCGGTGGTATCAAAAGAGCTGCTGGCTTCTGGCGTGTTCGACGAAGTCCGAGGATCGATGTTTCGCGAATCAGTACATTACGCATGGAATCTTCGGACAAATCTCATTTGTCGGCCATATTTTGTGCCCGGTGTGTATTCCGATCCCAAAGCCTCTGAATGAGGCATAAGTACCTTGTTGAAATGTCAAGGGTTTTTGCGGCGGGTTAGGGCAATTCTGTGAGTGCAGTTTCTAACTGGAGAATGGAATAGCGACCTCCAGACCGTGTGTCCGCACTTCCCCGAGCAGTGGCCCATAACATAAGAATGGCTGATCGCCGTCTTCCTTAGACTGCTCTGAGCTGTAGGGACAGTGTGAAGGAGCCATCGCGTTTTCAATTTTTTGAACGCGCGGGCCGGTTGCCGAGCCATGAGCCGCTTTCACGTGCCTAGTGTGCGTGACTGGCATATGCAGTCACGCGGTTGTGTTGATGAGTTCGCGCCTCCCTCAGGCGCATTTAAGCGAATTGAACTGGTCGCTTCCCCCCCCAAGAGTGGCTCCAATTTCAGCCTGTTTATGTCCATCTCGATAACTGTGCCAAGCTCTCCCAAGTACCATGAGTTTGTGACCGACTCTGACATGGCAGTGGCACTGGTTTCATCATTCCTTTCCGAGCAGTCCGTGTTTGCTCCCGACCACGATGGAGGCCGTCAAGCTGAGCGATGGTGGGATGCTTTCTTCTCGCGTGAAAGAATCGAATACACGAGTGACCTCCCAAGGAACCCTCATGCCCTCAATCGCATACAACACCACCGAGATGTCGCTCGTAACTCCCACCGAGCAGATCGTGAGCGGGATTCAGAAAGGCTACGCCATCGTGAGCGCATCCTCTTCACACCGCACTTCGCTGGCACCAAACCAACTGGCTCTGCCGTGGCGGTATCAGATGTCGGAAAGAGCCACGAGAAACACGAGATCGGTGTCGGCAAGGCCGTCGTCCAGTCCGGCGTCGCACGCGAGAGGGTGTTCATCTCGGTGCGTGTCCCGACGGACGGGTACGATCCCGGGTACGCAATCCAGTTCATTCTCAAGAACGTGCGTCTTGTCTCGTCTGGACGGCGGACATACTGTACTGATGCATGAACTATCTCGCGCTCGGCAGCTCGGGCTGAAGCACATCGACCTCTATCTCCTCCCGCCCCCGCCAGGGTTCAGCTTGTCGGGCGGACAGAGCCGGATTGCGCCCGTGTGGGCCAAGATGGAGCGATTGAAGGAGAAAGGACTAGTCAAGTGAGCGCTAGATTGACCAGACGACGCTCCCCTTCCAAGGAACTGAGCACCAAAGAAACATCGGTGTCCTCGACTTTGGCGTGATACACATCGCCCAACTCCTCGTCGAAGCAAAAATCCGGCCGGCGGTCAACCAGGTGTCTTTCTCGAGCCGCTCGACCACTCGGGAGCCAGTGGAATACTTATTCCCTTCGCAGATCAAATATAACCCATACCAGCATGAGAAGGATGGTCCCATCATCGACCTGTGCCGGAAACTGGATATCACCGTTCGCGCATACGACTGTGTCATGTGAGTCTTCTAGTTCATGTTATTCTCGTTGGTTTCTTTCATTCATCGTCCGAGTTCAGGCCGCTTGGAGGGACCGGAGCCACCGGACCACTAGCAAAGAACTTGCCGATAACGAGTCGGCGGTTGGGCCCGGATGCGACTCCTGCGAGGATCCTGCTTGCCTGGACCAAATACAAAGGCGTCCTCCCCGTCCTGTGAGTGTCCCACCGATTCCATTCGACGAACACACCGCCGCCGGCGCGCTGACCCGAGATCGGCTTTTGCCCTGGCAGGCGGAAATCCGAGCGAGACAGACTGAAAGATAACGTCGAGACCGACACACTGGGTATGTTACTCCGTATTCTCGGTGCGCCATTTCCTTAGTGCTGATTGGTCGTGTGACTTGGCCAGGCATGGTCCCAGCTGACTTTGCCGCGATCGATATCCTGGGTGTGATGGGTGGCGAAAAACCTCCAGCCGACTTGGGAAAGGACACGCTCGCTGCAGGGATGACGAGCGCGTTGATGAACCTCATAGGAAATGTTATATCCAACTCGTAAGACGAGCAGCAATCGTTGCGTGGTGAGATCATTGGATAAGCTCTGATATCTATGATTCGGAAGATAGCCTGGGCCTTGCTAAGTTTATAAGTTAATATGAATGTCTGAAAGACATCGGGAATAAAATGTGGGATAAAATGGACGTAGACTCAGAAGCGCTTGACCGTTCGTTGAAAGGTTTACACGGTTAGTGTGACCATAAGATTGACACGCGTTAATTATCTCCGTGAAACCTCTTCTTTGGACGTGGCATCACTCTTTGTCGATCCTGGACTATGTTTTTAGGGCAAGACCTCATCAGCCATGTCACACGCCTGAAAGTGCAGGAATGCAGCGACCGCGATCCTCCGATATCGTGCGGCCTGCCCTCGCTTCAGCGATCAGCGTGTGTTGAGGGCGATCAAGGCCAGCTCAGCGCTGACTTCTCGCGGTTGTTCCTGTGCGGTGTCCAGTCAGGAGAAAGGACGAGCCGCATGTCTGGCCGATTCTCGTTCCCATCCGATCATCAAATCCGGTGACCTCCGCCTCTACATGCAGTATATGTTGCTTTCTGCAGAGCACCCGAGGCGATGTACTGACTAAAGCGGCTGGGTTCCTGTGTTGGGGAGACCACTCTGATCCAGTCACAGAAGTTTCTTCTCAGTCGTCAATACCCGCGTTCTAAGCTGCGGATCGTGAGATGCGCCCCCCGCGCTGTGAACAGCACTCGAGATCGAATCTCTGCAACGTGTGCCGATCGACTGCGCTGATCCAATTCATCTCTTGCGCAGGCGGATACCTCTCTGCTTTCACTTTGCCGCACTTTTCCGCGCTCGCGGTAGACGCTGCAGATCCGCACCCGGCAGTAGCTCAGGAATTTCCTTTGTACGCACTCTAGGCCCTGGCCTGCGTACGATGCGCATGTGGATCCTGAATTGCATCAGCATCGGTCTTGGGCAGGCTTCTTACAACTCTGCAGACTTGAGCCTCGGACTGCGAGAAGGCTGCTGATGGCGAGGCACCAGAACCGGAGTAATTCCCCAAAGAACCTATCATTCGCGTTCACTCAGATACATGAGTGCATAGATGGGTCGCACAGTCTACGTGGGCACGGCAAAGCACACACTGCACGAGTGGTTGGATAGAGCATCCATGACCTGATAGATGCGATTCCTCAGCAGCATTCGCCGGTGACAATTCCAATAGCAAGTAGCTGTTCGCCATCAGCAGCTCTTAACAGGAACCTGCCCAACGCAGGATGCTCTCTGAACAGCTCCAAACACTAGTAGCATCACAGTGAGTGATCCAGTTGGGCAATGAGTCTGCAATGGACTGACCACGGACTCGCGAGCGACAATCCTGACTGTCGCGACGTCGCCCTCTCTGAGAGCTTGGGGATTGAGTTCTTGCACGACATTGGTCCGCCGGGATCTTTTGTGGATCAGTTCGGTGATCGTACATTCGACTACAGCAGTATGACACCGGAGCTGAACAGCAGTGCCCGCTTGCAGAGGCGTACTGAGCACTACCACTTGGGCAATGCACAACCGGATGGGCCTGGCCGGGTCCCGCGTCGCGTCAGAGATCACATCACCCCGCCGCAAATCGTCTCTCGACATGCGCAGGCTGTCTCTGCCCCCGCTGCCATTAGCGACTCGCCTGGGGAGCAGCAGCAGCAGCATGCAAAGCGCACCTGAGACTGAAGCCCACTTGGTCGCCCACAACGCCTTCCGTCGTCGCTCCGCCGTGATGCATCTCGAACTGCGCCATCTCCGTCTCGACTCCGGACAGCGCAAACTTGAGCCGCATGCCGGGCTTGAGCGTGCCGCTCTCCACCCGCCCGACGGGCACGATGCCGATGCCGCCGATCTTGTAGACGTCTTGCATCGGGATACGAAGGGGGCGGCTGTGGGGGTTGACGAGATTGGAGGAGAGGAGCGATTCAAGGGCCGCTGCGGCTCTGGAATGCAAAAGGTCAGTATCTCGAGGGGCGCCCGTTGGGGGTACACATACTGCGACACATCATCATACTGAGCGAACGCACAGGCAGCGTCGTCAAAGCCAGCAGATCTGAGCACCGCGGATACTACGGAGGTATCTCGCGCATCCTCTAGCTAGAGGCACGCGTCCGGGTCAGTGACTCTCCCCGCGTCCGTCAAAGTCCACACGCACGAGCACCAACACGCACGGCACACCCACCGCAAAGACCAACTCCAACTCCGCGCACGCTTCTTCCAACGCACAGTCTGCTGCATGGACTAGAATCGCGGCCTCCGCCGCGCTTCGGCCCGTCAAGAGGTTTCGGACAAATGCGTGGTGGCCGGAGACATCTACGAGCTGTGTCCAGCAGGTGAGTGGTGATCTTCCGAGCGGAGACAGGTGGCATACGTCGACACGATGTTTCGGGGTGCGGAATCTCACAAGTGCAGGAGGGACGCATCGTTCGTGGGCCCGCCGAATAGCTTCGACTGACGCGGGAGAGTCTGCACTGTTTGACGCGACGCCCTCACTCTCACCCTCGGTACGTTGTGGGACGGCGGGACTCGTCGTGCCCTCGAGCAGGGATTCTATGACCTGGATTCCCCGCCCCGTACCGGCGGGCACAAGCACTGCGATAGTACGTCGAACGGTTTGGACGGGAGGACCGGAAGAGTGACTGACCAACGGCGTTCAACGACCTTGGCTGCATTTGTTTATGCGACGTCTGATGACACCGCCGAGCGATAGCTGAGATCTGCTGAGATCCAACCACAGCGAGAGGAACGAGGATGTCATGATGAGTACTCCGAGTCGGCGCTGCCAAGTGGCGGTGTCGTCCAGCTGCTTACAGCAACACTGTGATGCCATCGAGAAACGCATCAAACGGCACGTGACAAAAGAAATTCGGTGTGTCGGAAACCCATCCGGTAACACGCAAACGACTACGGCATCCCTGCAGCGCTACTGAATTTTTCTGAGAAACAGAGGCAGCTGCGCGCCCGCTCGCCGATCCGCGAGCACCCCGGGCTGACACAGCGTGCCCGCAAGCCCGCCCGTGGTGAAGCGGCCAATCCCACCCGCACCCACCGCCGGTCGTATCTCGAACGCACGGACCAGAACGAAGAGCAGCGCTTTCTGTCTGTGCAGGCGTCAGCTCGGTCGTCAGTTGCGCAACGGCACGACGTACTCGAGGACCGCGAAGGCGAAGGCGGGACAGGCGCGCGGACCGGCGAGGAATGCGAGTGAGTTGCCCCACACTCCGGTGATCATGTTGCGCGCGCGCAGGGGGAGGTCTGTCCACCGCTCGGGCCTGGTCCGTGGTATCAGAACTGTGAAGCAGGAAGGGGACTGATGTTTACACGTGCCTAAAGTCATGAGCATCGTCGCCCCAAATGTCTTTATCCATGTGTGCAGCCAAGATAGGGATGTGGATGACTTGATCCTTCCGCACTCTGCACACGAATCAGCCCATCCAACGGGGAACTCGACAGAAACCCACAGCAGACTCTCATGGCGCACCCCAAAGCGATCGGTGTACGGCTCTGAAAGCGGGATAGAGCAATCGGCTACGCTCATCCGATTCACGGCTCCCACAGGTGAGTACAGCCGCAAAACCTCCCGGATGAACAGGTCGAGATACGGCAGACTATTCAGCTGGTCCATGGTCGGACGCTCGCCGGGCATGCCCCGCAACTCAGTCCGCAGCTTCATTTGGATCTCAGGGTGCATCGACAGCGCGTAGAGAGCCCAGCCCAAGGCTGTGCTCGTCGTGTGGTGCCCTGCAACGAGGAACGTGGGAATCTCTGAACATTGGTGGGGCGTATGTAAGCTGGCTGAGCCCTCGCGGAAGTAAGAACCCACGCACGGCCGATGAGCTCTGAATCGTCCAGCCGTTTCTTGGTCTCAGCCGACGCATTCGCCTTTAACATGATAGATAGCAGATCGCGTTTATCACCGCCGTCTAGCTCGCTCTCGGCTCGACTTTTTGCGAGTATCGAGGCACAGATATCTTCCATTTTCTTTCTTGCTCTTTTGATCGCCAACGAGCCGGGGGTGATTGGCTTCGTTTCCCATCAGATCGACAGCTCACGCGAGAATCTCAACTGATGGCCTACCAGCCAGTCCAACGTTGGCACACGAGCCCGGACTAGTCGATAGAATATCCTGCGCTCAGCTTGTGGGCCATGGAAGATTTCGGCGAAGACAGCACCGAGCTCTGACTTGGAGTCTCCGGCTGCCATGTCGTATCCGAATCCTGATTGGTTGACCGTGCGAGTCAGTCGGGACCCATGCACTGGGAATCGAAGCACCGAACCGGATTTTCCAATGATGTCCAAGGTAGCATACCGCAGTCCGCGCATCACCTCTATCCGCGAGCCGTCGTCTCCCAGCGCCGAAATCCAACGGTCCTTCAGCTGTGGATAATCAATTACCAGGGCTCGACCGCAATTCTGAACATCTGAGCGACTAACTTCATATGCGACCTGGATGAATATGTCGTTTATCAAGCGGATCTGCGTAGGGACAAAGGCCTGGCCAATGATCTTGCGCTGCACACCATCGTCCTGTGAGAATTTCTCGCGCGAACAAGCCGAACAAGCACAGAACCTGCCGCCGATGATCCTCTCCCTCGACCGCGACCACTCCGCTTCCTGCCAGACTTCTGGACATCTGCACAACGTAGGGTGGTTTCGGGAGGTTCTCTATGACATATTTGAGGCCCGTGGCGTCGCCCAGGTATAACTCAGATCGCTGCCATCCACCGTCAGCACTTGTAGAACTCGACTTTTGTCCAGCAGAAGTCGACCGCTCGATGACAGTCCGTGGTACTGACCCCCAGGAGCCCCCGAAACACATAGATCTTGCCGTACATCTCGGCCCATTTTTGAGACAGGAGAGGGTCTTGCTGCTTAGCAGTCAACACATAGCAGCATTATCGCTAAAAGCGGTCAATGGAGAGTTTCCTCACCGATAACTGCTTGGAATTTCCCATGAGAAATCCCGGGCTCGCGGGGCCCGAGAGCAGTTGCACGGGATCCGTCCGGTTTTGTTGTATGCTTTGGAGAGTAGATACGAGGAAGAGGATGGCTGCTACGCTAAACCCCAAAAGTGCACTGAGGAGGATGAGAGTAGCAGACATGGCAGGTGCAAGGGAGAGCTGTAACTTACGGCATGCTACCTTTATAGCAGATCCCGGCCCCGGGAAAGCCTAAGTGCTCGATGGACCGGAAGCTGTAAGCCCATCCGAGTCGTGTGTTGGCTGATAAGACGGTGGGTATATTTACGTTGCCAAATTCCCAACCAGGCGAGTCACACGGGTCATGCAGTCAACGTGTATGGCATGACGAAGGTGCGATGACTAGTAGCATGTAATACAGCTCGAATCCGAGAACCTCCCGCCTTCAATCCTCACTCCGCACAAGGTAGAATGCAGCGGCGACCATCTGGAGCCCGTTCATGCTTCCAAACTTGACTGGGTCCCACCGCCGGCGCGCCTCGATGCTCGGGTCGAGCTCCGACGCGTCCTCCGGTAGCACGAAGCTGGGTGGTTCGCGATACAACACGAAGGCTGGAGTTTTATCGAGCACGAGGAGAGCTCATTTAGCATGGCAAAGCACGAAATACGTAAGACCAGAAACGCACTGTATCGATGCAATCCACTGCCCTTCGGCGGCCCAGGTGGCCGATAAGCGTTCGCCGCCTCTGCCGTCTGTTCGGCGGGAGATAGAGGATCGGACGACGGCACAAGCCCGGTGATCTGGCGCGCGCATGTAAAAGACCGATTCGGAGATAGCGACACCGCGGGGAAACACATAACATACCACCCAGTGCCGGAAGTTCCTGCTGGTGGGCGAGGCCGCACTAGGCGCGTCCGGATCGAACATCACCAACGTGTACTTCGCGTGGCTCTCGATCAGCCCATCCGCACCCACCTCGGCGTCTTCTGGAACGGCGACGATGCCGATGCTGGGGGGCGCCACAGTCTCGGAAATCGGGATCTCGCTGCCGAGGGAAAGCGCCCCGGACGGCAGGAGCACGGTCAGCGCAGCCTTGGGGACGAACGCGGGGATTATATCGGGGATGAGCGCTGCGCTCGTGAGTGTCGTGATGCTGGTGGAGAGCGGGTCGAGGAGCGGCATGACGGTTTGGGGTAAGGTGTGGGGAAGGCGGCCCGGTCTAGAGGCGGCCCGCTAAATTAGCTCACGTGATACTGCAAGTGCATCGCGTCGGGGCAAGCAGAAGTAAACAACGACGTGTACATTGTTTCAGACATCTATGTAAGGAGTATGTGAGGTACAGCAGATACAGAGAAGCTCGAAGGTGAAATCAAACAAAACTGATGGTACAAGAATTACACAGATTCGAATGGGGTATACTTGAAGCGGCTGGATGTTCAATTCGAAAGAAGGGTCGACCAAGCGGACATTGAGGGAAGCACTGCGTCATCACGATAGTCCTGGAAAGGATCTGAAAGTTGTGACCCATATGTCACAGGCGAGTTTGGAAAGGTTCTTCGGCCGTTCACGAATTTATAAGTGACTAACAGGACCGGCCCCGCACTGCGGTCTTTGTGAACGACCTCCTGAGTGATCGTAAATCGTGTAGGATCTAAATTCCGCAAGGTTAAATGACCGCGCGCGGGTGCAGAAGGACTGTAACGCACCCGGGCTATCAAGGATGGTCCTCCAGTATCCAGGAACAAGATCCGTGTTGTACAGGAAGCGGTCGCTGTTCACAGACTGCTCCTTCATGAGCACCAACGGCACGGTTTCCGAATACAAGACCAATCCAGCCGAGTACACCGTGAAGTACGATTTCGCCGAAACGGGCGTCTTGGTTGAGAAAGCAACCTTGGGATCAATATCGCGCAGCCGGCGAGGCGTGGGCGATGACTGCAGAACCTCGTCGCCAGAGGACAGTTCGTCATCTGGGATAGGGGAACAGACGGGCAGCGGCGAGTGCCTGTCCTCGTCAGGGATAAGCGCGATGTGGATGGTTGTGCGCCGACAGCCAAACTTGGGATCTTCATAGCTGGCACGAGGCGAGCTGCCGGCTGTGGGCGCACTCTGCGCGCTGTCATGCACGTTGAGAGGCGCCGGGTGTCGGAACGGTGATAGCAGGTGTAGCACTGCAGGGTAAAGCCGCAAAGCATATCTCGTCAGCCCCCCAGAACGCGCGGAAACAGAGAGAGACAAGCACGCACGACCCGCTTCGGAGCAAGTCTCCCGCATCTGCTGGAGGCGGCTCCCGACCTGCTTCGCCGACCGCCGTTTCCCGGTCTTTGCGTAGATGTAGTTCGCGATGAATTTGTTGCGGCGCGGGAATCGCCCGAGCATGCGTGTTTCTCGGCAGTCCTCCGGCTTGTGGCGCTCGAGACCTGCGAGTGTACGTTGGATTATGCCGGCACGTGGATTAGGGCCGTACCTTCAATCAAAGCTTGCTCAAGGTCCGGCGGCCACACTGTCTCTCCATCTCGAAAAGTCTTCCACGTCTTTCGGACCCCAAGGACCGAGTTTAGCACCTCCTTGGTGTCCTTCGCGCCCAGTTCCTGCGATGCCTTCGACAAGGGCGAGCCGCTCGGTGTAGATACCAGAGACGTCGATGCGGAGGAGTCGGGGCTTCCCATCATCGGGCAATCTCTCTGTCCGACATAGCACTGGTTGCTGTACCACTGGTCCATCGGAGAGCTGGATGGGACTGGAGATGGAGAATGAGGGAGCAGAGCAACCTTGGCTGACTGATTGACCTCGTGCAGGCAGGTTGCGTTATATAGCATCTTCCACCTCAAGCGCGCGATCAATGAACACTGACGAAACGCAGCTCGTCTGCAAAGTATCGCTCCTATTTCCCTCCCAAACACTAGACTGAGCTCTGATAGCGCGCTTGATGAAACGGAATTTGCGATATCCGCTTCTGGAACAAGAACTGACCTTGTACTTCTGACAGGTCGCGTCTGTGGCGGTGAGCAGGCCGCCGTCCTATGTTTGTTTCCAGGCCATCTTGTCGTGTCAAGGATCGTCAGGAACTCACGGGATCCGTATCGACTGTTGATCTCCCTTCCATGTTGGGTCTAGAAAGCGAATGCGACACCCTGGGAACTTTGATTCTATGTGACCACCGGCGCTGGAGAGTCGGCCCAAACAACCAAGCTCGCAGATTTCGCACACGATTGTTCATCGCAGCACGTAAGAATCCAGGCGCACCAATCCTTGCGATGACCAAAGACTTGAAGCCCAAAGCTAGTTTGAGTTATCGGGGGCAGTGAACCACCGCCATGTGACCGCTTCCAGCCTTAGCAATGATGGTTCCTCCGTCGTCGTCCTAGGCTTCGAGAGCATCAGTTCCACCAGCGGGAGCACGAATGCGATGCAGCATTGCACGAGGGAGGGCTGCCAGCGGCCCGTTCACGACGAGGGTCACACAATGATACCTTTTGCGTCCCAAAAATGGAGTCGGGGAAGGTCGCGCGGCCTCCATTCGAGATGGCTGCTTTTCCAGCAAAATGATGATCGCGCCTGAGATGTAAGTAGCAGTGCGCCGGTGCGTGTCCGCAGTCATTAACGAGACTGGATCAAATCGCGTTCGAAGATATGGCCAGGGAAAAATCCAGAATATCCGAGGCCGGCCTGTCGCATGAGGCAGTGGGTTGGCAGAAACAAGTCACAGCGGTTGTCAAGGCTTGACGTCGTCAAAATGATTGGGATATTTTGCACGTGGGATCCGAATTTATTCACGTGATTACCTTGGGATGATGCACACCAAGTACCAAGACTCTGAGATCCTCTTGCGGTATTCCGAAGCTCCGAGCAGAATACGTATACTTAGGTACAAGAATTACATTCGGCACAACAAGCGAAGATTACATGAGCATTAGCACAACAATTACCTACTGCTGGTTATGACTCGTTCCAAGATATCTACGACTACATCCTCGTCGAACAGCACCTCGTCATGCCCCGCGTCCGGCACCTCGGTCCACATGGCCTCGGCATCTCCCGTGACTTCGAATCCATTCGCACTGACAGGAACTGGCGAGGCAGGCAGTAGGCCTACATCTTTCAGAGTCTTCTTCATCCATTGCCGGCCAGCGCGAGGCACCAATCCGTCAGCCCCCCCGTAGACCACATGTATGGTAGCCGGACGGGAAGAGGCGGAGCTGGACACAGTCGAGAACGCGTGGACAAGGATCTCGGCGTCCGTGGGAGGCGGTGCCGTGGGCGCTGAGAGGGAGAAGAATGATGATAGCCCCAGAGCGGGAACGGAAGGCGATACTGAAAATCCTGGAGAAGAGCTGGACGGGAGAGCCAGACCCCACACGCACAGATCTTCCCGGGTACCGCCCTCTCTCGCGGGTGCAGGGGCTCCACCGTGCAGACTGAATATGGCTTCCTGTCCGATAGCGATGCGCGATTCCGCCAGCCCACGGCGAGCGATTGCCGAGGCGCAGGCAGGGGATACGTAGCGGTGGATGTATCCAGGCAGCTGCTTGGGCTCCGCGTGTGCTGCACTCCCATCGGCCTGCTCCTCAGGTTCCCTCTGTGCGGCAGCAGCCGCAGCACCTTCGATGCTTGATGAAGATCCGGAACCAAGAAGCCCAGCGCTGACGCTCAACAGACCACTGCTCCAATCGATCACACGGCTCACAGGCGGCACAGCCTGGAGCAGCGTCCCTAGCGTCCCGGGCAGCGCATATGGCAGGGCCGCTGCAATCTTCAGGCTCGTCGAACCGCTGATTGACGGCGGCACAAACGGACCGCTCAGCGTCCAAGTCGTGATCTCGATGTGCGGGGGCAGGTGCAGAAGGAAGTACAGGGCGTAGAACACGCCGTTCGAATGCGAGAGCATCGCGAAGCGCGTGATTTTCTCCGCCGTAAGCACTGCCAGGAGCGCTTCGGCGAACCACCTCGTGCGGAGGTGCAGCGGGGGCAGAGACTCGGGCGTTGGCGCGGACCCACCCGCTCCTGGCTTGTCGATGGAAAGCACGCGGATGCGGTGCGCGCGGCCGATACCCTCTATCATGGCGGTGATGTAGCGGTGTCCGCCCAGGCCGTTGAAGAAGACCATGACCGGCCAGTCTTCGTGCTCGTCTTCATGCGTGAGAGCGTACGATGCGATCGCAGGCTGCCCGTCGAAGGTAAAGTCCTTGGACTTGTTGAAGCGGGGCAGCGCAAGGTAGGCTTCGGGATCGGGCCCAAGGCCAGTCGGTTCGGTCGACATCGAGTTCGCGTCAAGGCGCTAAGAAGGATGGAAAGGGCATCGCTGGGCGCAGCAAAAGCGTGATCAAATGAATTCATTGCTGTCAGTGTCAACGTTTGCTGTCAATCCCAAGATGGATCATCGATAAGATTACCGTATCTCTGATGGTTGCACGGAGTCTACATCTATGAACGTCAACGTTGGAACAATGAAGCAGATGCAATCTTCACTCTGAGTTCTCTCTTCAGTGGTCTAAAGATAGTAGCATTCGACATTCAAACCAACTTCTAACTTATACTGTTTCTTTCTTTGCATTTTAGTGCCACTCTTCATTCAAAAAGCTCGTATGGGTGCATGCCACCAATACGGCAACGGTGGGTAGGTTTGGCTTATTATCCCCCCGAAAGCCCCAAACCGAACAGTTTATTCGCCATATCAACGTTTACTGCAGACCTTGCTGCGACTACAAACACACCTGAGAGAGTGCCTAGCACATCCCGCATCACTCATATTCCCTGAGAACTTCATGATTATACGCAAATAGTGTACGTGTTTTGCCTCCCCGATTGCATGAACCACGCTCCCAACTCAACTCGAAGCTAGGAAAGCCAATCGACCTGGGATATGCCGACAACATTCATCTCAGAGAAAAGGATCAGGCGTGTGCGGATCCTCAGTCAACCCACTCTGGCTCGCACTCAAACAACGCTCGCTGAACATAGCGTCGGCCCTTCGCATCCGACGCCATAAGTCGGGTCCGCACACTCCGATGCACCTTCAGATTCGTGGGCGGCTTGTGGTCGAAGTAGTCGGGCGACTTGGGGACAGGATCGTGCGGAATCTGGTGCGGAATATGGCGCGCCCGGCCAAAATTGGATCTGTAGGTCATTAATGTCGAATCTTCACCCTGATCCAGTGGACACTCACCGAAATTCGGTCACCCACTTCTGGTCCCGCTTCTGGTACCGGAAGGAAAACGGCAGGCACTCGAGCACCCACCAACCCTTCTGGATCTTCAGCTGGTCGTACACTGGAGACAGCAGATCCCGCAGCTCCTCTTCCTCCTCCATCCCACGGTGCACTGACGTCCCCTCCTCAGTGCTCGTTGGACTCGGCACATCCGGAACGACGCCGGCAGGAATCGCCAGCTTCGCTTTCCGTCCGAACAGCCGCTTTCGTAAAGAGGGTAACTTCTGCCTCCGCTGAATCCGACCGTGCGGACCTTCCGGCAGATGAAGAGCCGGCGGACGTTCCAGAACGTAAGGGTAGAGCGTAGACGGATCCAGACCCAGCTCTTGTAAGCGGCTAGTATCGAATATGATGCCCGTATCGGCCTTGAAGCATTCGCGAATCATCCAGCGCAACGGGATGCGCGCCAGACTGTTACGGGTGTCGTTGGGGACGGATCCGCCTCCCACGTCTAGTCACTATCAGAATCGCATGAAAGCACCAAAGTACAAACAACGCACCGCAATGACAGCCAGCGAACCAGACCTCCAGAACATCGGACTCCTTCCTCCTCGGATGCGGATGGCGCAGGGTGAATTCCCGCTCGAATCGTTCCTGCTCAAAGTTCTCCGCCAGGTCGTCTTCATCTATTGAGTCCTTGTCGTCGTCCTTGGCCACTTTCGGCTCGGTCGACGACCGGAAGTGCAACACCCTCATCCCGAGGCTGGGCAGGGGGAGCGTGTAGGCGTGCTTCGGCGGTCGAGGCGGCAGCAGCATGGTCGGGGTCGGGGGCGTATGCAAGCCAAGAGTTGCTTCGTCGCTCGTGGGTACGTTCCATAGATTCGCTTTGAACTTGGCCCGGTGCTCATCGAGGGCCACAGCGTGTCTGAATGTCTTTACGATCGTGTTCGACGTCGTGAACGGCAGGCGATGGGGGATGAGTCCGACAGAGTCCACGGTATCCCTATCAGAGAGTATGAAGACGTGAAGAGGACTGGGATCTGACAGCCGACGCACCACACACCGATGAATTCGATATGTACATCGCTACTGAAAGCCTTCTTGAAGGCATTCGATTGAGCCCAGCCTACTTCATCCGTTCGCGTGTACATGCGATACGCAAAAGGCACTGGCGCACACTATATCAGCACCGAACGAAGCCCAGTAGGAGCATGCGCACCCTGTTGGTGATTGTCTGCCGACAGCAAGCCGACTTTGTGTAACATCCCTGGGCGCGGATCAGTGTAGATCCAAGCGAACCATCTATCCGACCTCACCTGCCAGGCTAGGGACGTCGAGTGAGGATCACGCAAGTTCCAGAGAACCAAATGGAACGCACCTTCTCGCAATGTAGGCTCCTCTCGAGAAACCAAAGATGCAAATGCGGTCGTTCTCCGAGTCTGAGTGCCGCTGTCAGCATAAGCCATCGCATTCCAGGACACCGCCCACAATTCTGCATGAGAAACTCATATCCCGCTGTTCCGATCGATATGTGAGCGACGATTAGTTTGAGCCCGAGAAGCACGCACCCATGACATGATCATCCAAGTTCCACGCGATCATAGCGTCCAGGGTCTAAGGGAAGATCGGCGGCCGGGACAGGATGAATGGACGGGAGAACGCACCAACGAAAGCGTCGTCGCAAATGGAGTGGCAAACTTGCGCGTCGTATATGTTCCTATGCCCGACTACAGTTCCAAGAGTGAGTTCGCCCATGTCACCCAGCATCAGGTGAGACCCCACCTGATAGTACACCATCTGTTTCGACTTGTCGTTCTTCTTTAGCGCCGACACAAGTTGCACGATGTTCGAGTTGTCTGAGTCAAATTGGTCACCGGTCCCTGTCAGTGAGTCAGAGGGCGCCAGAAGAGGAGAGACTGGTATAGAGGCCCACCATCGAAGGCGAGTATGAGACAGCGACCCTCTCGGGCAGCGGTGTTCTCAGGTGGAGGAACCCATCGGGACACAGTCGGTGTGTCACACGCGTAGAATGAGCTTCCAGCCGCGCTTCCCGGCGGGAGCAGCGGCGGCGGCACCAGCGTCCGAGCAGTTCCAAATCCCGGCCGGACGTCTCGTTCCTCGACCTCAATTTCGACAATGCTCGACGTGCTCAGAACCTGGATGGGACTTGCAGACATTGCGGGTGCCATGGTGGTTCGGAGGTGAGTGAAGCAGAGGAAAGAGTGAGCGATTTTGAGGATCCCGTCCTGTGCAGATTACCGCGATGGAGTTACAGCTCCGACGGTACCTGACACATTCTCGAATCCCGTGCACAGGCGGAGAGCACACGCTGTCCAAATAACAACGGCCGCACTGGATAGTCATCTGGGTGATACAGATACAACTGTACTTCATCAATCCGTGAGTTTGGGCGCAACCGAAAATGCTGTAGAGAGCGCCATTGGATGATCACAGAGAGCTATAAAAGGCATTTTGATTGGGTCAAGTCGTCAATCCAAGCGTATTCCACGCTGCTGCATCGTTGATTCCGAGGGTCGTGAATGGCGGGAAATAGACCATGGTGTAACGCGTGACACGTCAGCGATCCGAATGACATCTGTCTTTCTGTCATCCCATCAATGATCTTGCTTGCGATTCCGACTTGCCGAGGCTTATGTTGAGGGGACGGTCTTCAGGCGAGTTTACCGACAGGAACTCTGCTTCCACCGATGTCAATGTCTCAACGACACTTTTTTTTCATCGGATAAAAACTAGGTCCTCAGGCAGATCGTGAGATGACCTGGGCCGCACAAGCCCGGCGTCAAGCTTTCTTTCTCTCATCATCGTCGACAAGGACCCGCGAGTATTTGAGCTCAAAGGTCAGGAGCTTCATTCGCAAGTTCTCAATTTCATTAATGCTGGGGGTGAAACTCCAGCGGAAGCTAGAAGCTTGTCGTTCATCGACATATGTCCCTTGGAGTCCTATGGTCCAAAGGGTACGACGCCGGCACTCGCTGAATTCTCGTTGAGGGATATCAAAACCAAGCCGGACGATGCGGGTTCGAGTCTCGCTAGGACTGTTACGATCCGTTTTCCGCTTGACGGGCGCGAAATCTGGACAGTACAGTGACGCAGGATGACTTGTTTTACGGCCAAGGCCAAACACGGTCCCGTGACCTGGCAAGAAAACCGAGCACCGCCTCAAAGTGCATGCGTGTATGCCGGGATTACAATGATGCGCTGAGATGCGACGGACGTTCGTAGACCGTCTTGATCTTTGCTGTGCCTTCGTTCCTCTCCAAACCGCGACTTCGACTTTGCGGGGGATTCCGATGACGAAGGTTGATGGGACGGTCAGATGATGCGAACTACTCTCCTTGCTTTGTCACTACCACCACCACCACCATGTCCCAAGCTGAGTACCCGACTTACGATACCAAGGGCATGCCCTTCCGAAAACTGGGACCCAGTGGTCTCCGGGTCCCTTTGCTCTCTCTTGGCGGCTGTGAGCAGATCTCACACATCATCGAATCTGTCCTTCAACGATCTTTTTGTTCCAGGGCTTACTCTGGGCGGATCTGTTACTGGAGACCCCGTGAAGGTAGACCCGATCCAGTCAAGTCTCTCTCTTCAAGATTGAGGCATTCTGTTATCCAGGAGATCATCAAGGCTGCGTTCGATAATGGCATCAATATGTTCGATACCGCAGAGGCTTATGCGGGGGGCAAATCCGAGCTCGAGATGTGCGTGCCGAGCCCACTCTCAAAGGCGTCATTGACTCCCACGTCACAGGGGACGAGTGATCAGGGAACTCGGCTATAAACGGTCCGACCTGATTATCTCTACCAAGATCTTCTGGGGACTGCGCAGCGGCCCCAACGCTTCTGGGCTGTCTCGCAAGCAGTGAGTTGCAACGTGCAGGATCGCAATCCCTCGATGGACTCAACTGCATCAGTGTCATCGAGGGAACCAAAGACGCGCTCGAACGTCTGCAGATGGACTACGTCGACGTGATCTTCGCGCACCGGTGTGATAGAACCGGTAAGCGCACGTGGCTCTGTCGATTTGGCTGACTGTACATGGACTACCCTAGTCCCCATGGAGGAGATTGTGCGCGCATTCAACTTTGTTATCGATCAAGGATGGGCTTTCTACTGGGGAACCTCGGAATGGAGTGCGGGAGAGATCGAAGAGGCGCATCGTGCGATGTCCCGGTTCTCAATCCCAGAAACTTTGAGATTGACAGTATCCAGATATCGCGACCAAATTCAATCTCATCGCACCGATCGCTGAACAGGTGCAACACAAGCAAGTTCCATTCTTTTCGCAGCTTATCATCTTCTCAACCCTCGCGCTCACAGTATGTTCCATCGAGAACGCGCTGAAAAGGAATATGCGTTCGTGCTCGAGTGCTCTGCAAATGTTCAAACAATGAACACCTTTCCAGCGGTTTGTACCGCAAATACCAGTACGGGACTACTCTCTGGTCGCCGCTTGCGTCTGGTCTCCTCACTGGCAAGGTCGGTGACGCAACACTCGGCTCGGCGCTCTCTGTCACTCAAATCCTCGATAGTATAACAACGGCATCCCACCCGACTCCCGCTTCGCTCGTGAAGCGATGTTCAAGAGCCGGGCCGACGACCTACAGAGAGAGGCGGGTCTAGAGAAGATCGAGAAGGTCAAGAAGCTTACCAAGATCGCCGAAAGTATATTCTCATTTTCCTTGCACCTACCATTGTTTGATTTTCTTGACACTAGGTCTCGATTCGACTCCCACCGCGCTAGCGCTGGCGTGGCTAGCCAAGAACCCCAACACCTCGACCATTATTTTGGGCGTCACCTCCGTCCCGCAGCTTCTGGAGAACCTTGAAGCCCTCAAAGTACTGCCCAAGATCACAAAGGAGCACCTGGCTGAAATCGAGGAGATCCTCCAGAATCAACCAACCGCGAATGTAAGTCTGTCGTCACCTACATGAATCATCCAGTTACGACGATGATGTTCGCAGGAAAAGTACAGCCGTCCGCCGCTCGATCCGCACGGCAGACCGTTCCTGGATGTCTACGGCAGACTTTGAGTTGCTTCGTCGTATATGTACATCGTAGAGGAGATATAGTGAAATCAGAGCTCGAACAAGAAATCTTCTCCCGCAACAGTCTCGAACTTCAACGCGGCACCGAAAGAATCATGACCGACACCCTGCCAGCCAGCTTTAGGTGCGCCACTGGCCACGGCCCGGGCCTTCCCGTAGCAGCGACAGGCTTCACGGTTCTCGCACTCGGCACCGTCGGTCGCGAGATGCCAGTCGATCTCGTCGTAGCCACGACCGGTTTCTTTGCTACCGCAAGCCGGGGACCAGGAGCAGACCTCGTCGTGACGGCCGCTGCAGATCGGGTTCGAGTCGTAGCAGTCGAGATAGAGCGCGAAGGCCCAGGAACGACAGGCTTCCGCAGACCGCTTTTCTTCGGTGGAGCACGAGGTTTGACATGAACGGCGAACGGGTCATCAGGCTCGAGTGCTGAGCAGATATCAGCGGCCGCGAGCAGCACATGCAGAGTAACGCACGGATGTCAGGTAGGTCCAAACCGTTCCATCCAATGTCTTCTACCGTCGTCACATCCGGATCGACAGGGCGTGCATCGTCGCCCATAGGGAACGAGCGCGTCATCTGCAGCAGGCTTCTGCCAACCTGACCGTAGTCGGGCAGCGCAAAGTCGAAGGGCGGTGCGTAGTCTGTAGCAGCCACGGGTGGTGGCATGTACTCGATCTCATCGTAGTCGTCGTCCGGCGTCCCAACACCAACCCCCTCGGTCCCCGGCTCGGGGAGCACGGCGGCGGGACTGTCAATCACCTCCCACGGGTTTCCGTTCACGGCGGGCGTGCGAAACGCGTGCTTCGTGTTCCCAGCGCTGAGACGTGGTGTGCGGATGTGCTTGCGCGTCGCGCTGGGCAGGGGACTCGGTTCGAGCGTCGCGGTCGAAGTAGGCTGTGGTTTGTCGACGAGAACTAGTTTGGCGAGCTTCTCATCGCTGGGGGCCGTGGGATACGTCGCTTGGCGGTTCACGAAGGGCGTTTTATCGCCCATGGCGAGGCGGGTAACGAGCGGGTTCTTTGACGCCGCGCCATCTTTCATTCGCTGAGTCTCTGGGTTGGAAGATGGTTCAGAGATGAGAAGACCGTCCGAACGATCTCTGCAAGACACGAGTCGCTTTGGAAAAGGACTACATACGAAGAGACATTGGCGGCGCTTGTTTCCCCTTCCCATGCCCCGTCATGAGAGCCTTCTGCCTCATTGCATTCTCTCTCCCAGGCGTTTTGGCGTTCGCCAGCATTCGTGCGTCGATAGGGCGGGAGGATAGCATAGTCGCCGCCTGCGTCAAGGTTGGTAGACAACATGTGACCGCATACACGGTGGGATGACGAGATCAGGATGGAGTCCCGTGACCTTAATCACGTGCAAAGACCGATTTCCAGGAACCTATTCCTCGGGGGTGGTGTTCAATTGTAGGAGCAGTGTTCTCATCACTGACGATTCGAATGCTTTTTCTCATTCTCCAAGTGCCTCAAGATGTGTGCGCGGAGATTTTGAACCCGAAACTTGGCGTAAATAGGTGGTATTGAGGGACGATGTTCGCAGCTTGATTCTTCACTGCTACATACTGCAAAACCACATGTTTCGGACGTGAAAAGCACTCTTCGACACTGCTTCTTTCATTTACCCCTCAAGTTGAGCCCGCATGGTGCCCGCATGGAAAGCGAACCTGCCCTCGCACGCATGGCATGACTCATTCCAGAAGTCCATCAGAGCCCGCGGACGGCCGGCCACTTCGTTTGATAGATTTTGAACGAAATTCACAGGTTGAATCCGAGCTACAATAAAATTAACATGGCATCTTATCGCCTTTATAAAGTACATACACGTAGTAGTAAGAATGGTAGCAGTCAAAAATAAATACGGAGAAAACGAATGATGTGGATAGATATATAGATAAGTGGCAAAGATCCCAATCACCGACGCAGGCAGAAAGATCTACAGAAACTCGGCGTGTTTCAGGTGCTCCCGAATAAGACTGTCGCGGACTGAACGAGGCAGTCAGCGACCACACGGTTGTCTTATAACAGTTATTCCGGACTCACGAATGTTCAACGTCGCAGCAGTCGCTTTTGTGTCCTGTGACGGGGAAAATTCAGAGCCTATAAAGGAAGTAAAGGGGAGAAATGCGGCTGACCGTTACGGAAGTGGCGTAGAGATATGCCGATCTGGGCCCAGCGGACTCTACGCGGAGTATATCCTTAAACTTGTCCTTCAGATCTGCAGACATGCAAAATTAGAAACAGCCAAGCAGTTCGAGAACAACCCACATTTGACCACGGCGCTGACCTCGTTCTCTCGCTCTCCATAACTGATTAGATATTTTTGACTTGAACGCCACTCTGCAGCTTCCTGGACAGGCGTGTCAGCGATGCTGGGAATGGGGCGGACGAGAGCGGGAGGTACCGTTTCAAGAGATCACATTTGTTCAGAAACACCACCAGAGTCGTTTCGGCCAACAGCTTGGATGACACAATGGCCCTCCACAACAACAGGGTGTCCTCGAGGCGGTTGACAGATGGATCCTCTTCTAGCCGTTCATCAAAGCAGGAGATGGCTGTGAACGTGTTTCAGGCCGAGAACGGATGATAAGGGCGTGCCTACGAGCAACTGATGAAAAAGTCAGTCAGAAGGGGACGAAAACTCGAGCCCGAAGTTCCACGTACGGAAGATGATGGCATTCATCGAGTCAAAGTACGGCAGCCAGGCGTGTCGCTGAGATACATGAGTCCAGGCGGCAAGCAGCCGCAGCGAAACACACACCATTGACCGCGACCCGCCAACATCGTAAATTACCCATTCAGATCCAAATGAGTCCCCTAGAAGCAGGTTCAGTGGAGAAAGAGCGGGGAGTAATCTCGGCGACTCACCGTTCTCAAGGACAATCCGCCATTCCTGCACGCCCAACGTGCGAAGCCGGGCCCGGACGACATCGTTGTCTGATGGTACGTAATCTCGGGAGGTGATACGTTCTGTATCAGCAAGGAAGCTACACATCATCTCCCTCAGCCGAAAATCTGGAAAGCAGGGAGAGAGACCCACAAGCCGGGCTGATCCTCCATCCTGACACGGTTTTCCTGCAGCAGCAGCTGTACATCCTCGTCGTTCCACAGCGCACTGATATCCTCGGACAGGGACGCGAGGATCTCCGTGGCCTCGTCGACGGACATCGCTTGTCCTTGGCGATCAGAACTGCCTCGCCTAGCGCCGCCAAACGGAGAATTGAGTCCGAGCGCGCCTATCCACCCGCGGACCCCGAACTCCTGTCTCACGGCGCGTCGCTCGTCCGGCAGCGCACCGCCGAACCCGAGCGCCGCACCGTCGTCCCCGTTCGCGAACGTAAGATCCGGGTCGTCCGCGCCGAGCCGCCGCCGGAGGTCCTCCGCGACCTTGCGTAGGGGGGAGAGCCGCAGATTGAGGATCCGGTGCTTTTGGGACAGCGTCACGCCCGGGGCTGTTGATGTTGCCATGGACATGTCCGAGAAGTTCGAGTCGATGGAAGCACGGCCATACGAGACCATCGGCGCTTGGAACGAGACCGGGGGCGAGCTGGAGCCTGCTTCCGACCCTGGAGGTAATGACGGATGGCTTGCCAGTCGGTCATCGAGATGGTCTAGGATGGTGATGACGTTCTGGATGAGGTTGAGCTGCACCACCGTTCGCCAGGAGCGCAGCTCGGCTTTCCACTGCGTCGCAGCGTACTTCATGCGAAAATCTGAGACACGGGAGACTCTCAGGCGAGTCCTGGTGAGATGAGCCGGGTCGTACGCACTTTTGAGCACCGTGCTCTTCCCGCTCTCGCTCTGCCCAAGCAGGAGCACCAGCACCTCCCGCTTCGCCCGCTTCTTCCTCTCGACGCGCTCGCGCTTCAGCTCCTCGTCGATCTGGTCGCTCACGCGCTTCTGCTCCTGCTCCGCCTGCACTCGCGCATGGCGTTCCGCGGGCGTTTCGTTCGCCGGCGGCTGGGTCAGGGCCGAGAACGGGTCCGAGAGCTGGCTGCGGTGCGTCTTCGCCATGGACGCGCAGGAAATAGGGCTGGGTGGGTAGGTGGGTGGGGTGTGTAACGGGGCTGGGCGGGAAGGTGAGACAGGGCTATGACGCCCGCTGCTGTTTGGTCTCTCCCCTAATCACTGATCGCGGGCGTGTTACTTTTTAGCCGTCCGGCCGGGGCGAGGGAGGAGAAGAGAAGGGCGGATGTATATAATACGATACGTACGCACCCACGCATGCCGTGGTGTGCAGATGACTGACTGGAAGTCCCGACTCGCAGTCGAACTGTCGAAGAACTTCGATTGTTGATTATGCATCGCGTGACTATCGATCACATGGTCACTGACTGATTCAACCAAGATTTAAGCATTTATGATCCTGACAGCCACTTTGTTCACTGCATTCAGAGATAAGGTTGAGAGTGTTGAATTCCTCACGAGAATTCTCGTCCCTTGGACTCGTTGTCTTCTGTTCATAATGTCCCCTAGTCAAGTTACAACGAGAATCTCATTCTGTCCTTTTTCATTTCACGGTGTCGATTGAGTAGCATCGCTGATCACACATCTTTCATGGATAGCGCAGATCTTTGACACGTATTGAAGACATCAAATTACACAGCTTACAACAATCAGATCGGTATCATCTCAGGACTGTGGGACTAGTTGGAGGTGGCGGTGGTGAACGCCGTGGTGGCAAAGCCGACACGGGCGCCGGCGGTATCAAATACCGAGTAGAATCTCTCCAAGAACGTGTACCCGTTGATGAAGTCAAGGCCCTGTCCACTCGGTGTCCCTGCCCGGCCGCATTAGCATCATGAGGCGGAAACACCCAACAGGAGACGACATACCGAGATCAGCGACCACAAGGTAGATGCTGCCCGCCGTGCCGCCAATCGCCGTGTTCAGCGACCGGGGCCAGATCTGCGCGTTCGGAGTGAGAGTGCGCGTCACGCCGTTGATGACGAAGTTCAGGTTCTGCAGCGCCGCGAACTGCGCCGCGGTGATCCGGAGCAGGCCGGTGTTGTTGTCCAGGACACCGCCCGTGCGGGAACGGTACTGGGTGAATGCGTTGGTCGCGATCAGGATCAGCGTCGTGCCGGTGTCTACGATGCCGGCGGTCGACGCGAGGATCGTGGTCGTGCCATCTGCAGTCGAGGTTTCACAGGCGTTCGGGAGCGCAGGGGAGAGAACGTACACTGGATGGACTGGTTGATGCCCCAGAACTCCGACGCAGGCGACGTGCGCGTGATAGGCCTTTCCCGCCAGTCAGACGCGTCTCATCTCCAGACACAGTCAAGAAAAACATACGCGAAGGAAATGGTGCCGGTGAACTTCGTGCTGTCAGTTCCGCCGAACGAGATCGCGCCGTTGTTGACGACCTGCGCCGTCGTCGGCTCGAAGGAGACGCCGATCAGGTCGCCTGTGATCGTTCCCGCGCTGAACAGATTGCCAGTCACGGTCGGGATCGTCCCGCCGGTGCTCAGTGTCCTATCGATACTCGATCAGCCCCGGGCCATTCCGCATGCAGGGGGAACACCCACCCGGAAGTCAAGTCCAGCGGACCGATGCTGAATATCAGGAAGCATCTCGTCAAGAAATAACCCCATACTCCCAGAGGCGATACACATACCCGAGGATCCCATCAACTGCGCACAGGTCATGAGGCCGATCAACGCACTATCACGCGTTGGAAAACTCACCACCACTGAAACCGGTCGACGTCGATGCGACACCGATCGACTGCTTCGCGATAACCAAACCGGGGGCGAGGGTTACCTGGTCGGTGAACTCGGTACCTTATTTCACCAAGATCAGGCATGTGCAGATCCTCCCATGAAGATAGCGTGGCTCACCCGAGAACGAGCCAGAGCCGTACGTCACAGACTGGCACGGGTCAGCTCCAACTTTTTTCTCCATGGGACAACGCGAGCACTCACGACGCGAGCACCAGTGCTGACGGAGGTGCTGGTGCGCACGTAGGATTTGGTGGCGCCGACCCATGTGTTGCTGCTCCCGGTGTCGACAATGAGGCTGTCTGCAAACGAAAGCGAGTCTGAACAAGCTTTCCCCCGGGCTGAAACCATGGATCTCACACGTCGTCGCAGGACTGCCCACGCCAACCGAAGCCTAACAGCGCGATCAGCCTCCGCAGCAACGACCCGGGAGTTGGCGGAAACTCACGATGTAGCTGACGACCTGGTTGCTCACGGGCTCCGAGATGACCGCGCGCTTGCCCTTGCTGGTGCGGGCCTTGAAGTGGGCGACACGCGCGAGATCGCTCTTGACGATGTTGACGCTGCCCGTGAGGTTGAACTGGCGAGAGATGGGGAGGCTGATGAACGAGTTCTCGACGGCGACAGGCGACGCGGCTGCGGGCAGCGATAGCAGGAACGAGGGGACGAGGACTGCGAGAAGGAATGCCATTTTGCGCTTGGTGTTGCAGCCGGCCCCCCGCCGTATTTAAGAGCCCGTGTAGCTGTGTGGGAGTGTTGAACCCAAGATAAGGAAAGATATAGCAGCAGACCGTTTGGGGTCGTATTCGCTCCAGAAGAACCGGCTATATCTAGAAGGCGGGCTTCGACCGCATGCACACCCAGACACCCGTGGGCGTTTCCCTCCCTAGTGACCCTCCGCATCCTGTCGACGCACCACATGTCCAGGCCCATTTTTCCCAGGTTGAGTCATTTCAGGGACATATGGAAGTGCAATTGCGAGCACGATCGACGGCGGACCGCATAGACGCCGGTGCTCAAATCGCGAATGAGTGGATCGCAATATGGTGTGACCGGGAACTACCGAGCCGGGAGTGATCCACGCTAAGCCGGCGTGTGACTTCCTCCCGTCATGTGACGCATGTTCGTCGGCACGTGCCGCTTGGTTGAATGTCGCGAAAAATGGTCTCTCGGAACGGTAACAGGTGGAATAAAAAGATATACATGTATACCAGTGATTTTCATGCATTTATATTTGCGTCTACATCCTGTTTCCTACGGGACTTAGGATCAAGGGAAGTTGAGACCCGACTTTTGGTTCCCCGCGCACCGCCGGTTGCTGCAAATAGGTCGTCACCGCACTCGTGTGCACGGAGACAATCCCTCCTTTCTCTACCGGAGATCTAAATTCAAACGCCCGGAGCAGCACAAACAGAAGGCACTTTTGTCTATCAGATGGTCAGTGGCAAGACTCGCGGACGGCCGAAGCGACGGCCACTCACTCAAGGATCGAGAGCGCGAAGCCGGGGCAGCTCAGCGACCCGGTGGAAAATGTGAGCATGTTAGCCCAAACGCCGGGGACATTGTACGCCCTCTGTGGCAGGTTCGTCCATCTTTCCGGCCTAATGACAGGGATTATAAGGGCACTGAAGGCGCATTACGAGCGAGCCGACCTGAACTCGGTGGCGTCATCGCCCCATATGCTCGGATCTGTATTCACCGCAAGGATGGGGATGTAGAAAATCTGGTTCTTCGCGATCCTGCGACGATCGTTGAGATGAATTAGACACGATGTGCACCTAATGATATGACACGCACGGAAGTGAACTATATGTCTTGCCCGTCGAAGCGTCCATGACGGGCTCGGAGAGGGGCAAGACCTCGTCGTGCGGCGCCATTCTCCGGAGATTCACCGGGGGCGAGTAAAGCCGCAGCGTCTCGCGCAGGAAGAGATCGAGGTAGGGGAGCGAGTTGAGCTGTTCCATGGTCGGTCGGTCGGTCGGCAACGAGTTCAATTCCGATCGCAGTCTGGATTGGATGTCCGGGTGGCCCGCCAGGGCATGTAGCGCCCAGCCTGTTGCCGAGCTACAAATTCGTAGTCGAGCCATGATGAGCACGGTCTGTGAGCCCCGGCTTACCTAGTCGTGTGATGCCCGGCCAGAAGAAAGGTCGGTATCTCTGCGAAACAAGTCAGTCGGGGGAGACCGATCGGAAGGGCGACATAGACTGACGCGCGAGAACCTCCTCGTCATCTAATCGCGAACCTGGCTGCTCGCTCTCATTGGCGCGCAGAATTACCGACAAGAGATCCTTCTGGCTCTCGCGCCGGGGATGATTCCTGCTCCGCTCAATAATCTCGCTTCCGATCTCCTTCAGCTTTCCGCGTGCCTCGGCGTGTGTCCTGGATCCCGGAATCGGCTGTAGCAAAAGACTGCGTCGGACGGCCGGGAAAAAGTGGAAACAGGACAACGCACGAAGGGGATGTAGCGCAGAAGCGGGACGAGGGCGCACAGATATCGGTAGTGGGCGTTGATCGTCGAGTGCGAGCCGTGGAACAGCTCGTGGAAAATGTTGGCGAGATCGGCTGGGTCCTCGCGCGAGTTGAAGGAATCTAGATCGTAGCCGAATCCTTGCGAGGCAATCAGCGGCCAGTCACACGTCTGTATGCGTCCTGAGGGGGGGAAGTGCTTACCAGCCATGCCTATCATGTCTAGTGCGGCACGTCGCAGCCCATCCAGCACCTCGATAGACCCCCCAGTCTTCTCGGCGGAAGCTAAGCTACCCTCCCAATTCGTTTTGAGCTGAGTGCATCTCATCAGGTCCCCCCGCGTCGTGGATAGTCGTCAGATAGCATACCTTGTTTGCAATGTCGAGGAACGCATCGGTCATCAGACGAAGTTGCGCCGGAGCAAATGCATGCTGTATGATCTTGCGCTGCGAGATTCGTGCTCGATCAGAATTCCAACCGAGTTCTACTGGGAGTCTACGAGTACCTGACGCTTGTGTTCTTCACCTACGACCGCAGTGACTCCTGAACAGCGGTTATTTGGGCTATACAAGAGAGAGACAGGTCCCGTTATGCACCTTTACCGACCAAGCCCTTGGCCACCTCGATGCTCTCTGGAGGCTTGGGAAAGTTGTCGAGGATGTAGCGAATGGCCGCGAGATCGGAGACGTAGATTTCGCTTCGCTGCTCAAGTTGTCAGCCCCAAGAGCATCTCAAAGATCTGATTCGCGGTCGTACCTCGAAGAGCCCTCTGAACTTGAATATCCTTCCGTACTGCTTTGCCCATCGTGCGGTCAGGGACGGATCCTCCTGATACCATTCGTTCATGTAAGCAACCAATGGCAGAAAAACGCATTCAGCGTGGTGAGTCTACGCACCGTGATCTGCCTGCTGTTCCCATAGATCCAGCTGGGACTCGGTGGGCCGAGCAGGAAGCGTGGTGTGTTCGCCCGGGACCTGAGCTGATGAAACACAGCGATGCAGGCCAGTATCGATCCTGCAGCTAGCGCTGCAACGGTATTAGTCGTCAACATGGAGATGGGAGGGAGAGGGTGGCTCGAAACGCGCGAGAGCGCCTCTTTAATGCAGCAATGGAGCTATGGCGGACCCGATCTGAGGCTCTTCTCCATCCGGATCTACCAGGGACCAGTAATTACATACGAGGAGGCGCAATACACGTGTAGGGTGTGGGACCAGATAGGCGATGGACATGTGGGTCAATTCGAGTAAAGAAACCCTGCTCGAGAATGGCTTGTTGAAAGAAGTTGATCAGAGTCGATGCATTCGGGAGCTCGATGACGTCATGGGAGCTTCTGCACTTGCGCATGACTTATTCCGGTAGCCTAGAATGAGGGCTCACATTAACAGGCAGAATTCAGTTGAGATCGGCTGGATGGAATCCAGGCAGGCTCCTTCCCACCCGTTTGCGAGAGGTTCAATCCTACAACGGGGATTCAAAGCGGATTCAGAGATCGGGCATCGGACGTATCGGATTTATTCGGAGAGTGACTGTGATGTGACGGAAATGAGCAGGGAACCTCTCTAGAACGGCTGGCAGATAACATATACAAACACCATCTGATGTGGACCCCAGCTCTGTAATCATGATAAGATCTCGTATCTCTCTCAGTCATGACAATGCGCGCAGCTCCAGAGGAGCTCGAAACTCTCAAAATCTTCCGCGCCCATTCTCTTGCTCAGCAGCAGATTGTGGAATGGGCGAATCTTGTCACTCAGGGTGACTCAGCTTGTTGTCGAGATCTTGCACGTCGCGCACTAGAGCAGCACAGTTGGAACAATTCCAGCTCGAGAAATTTGCTCGGGACATGTGCAGAAAGGCTCCACGGCTCTGGAATCACGCGTCTGAGGACGTGCCGGTACTACAGTTGTTGCAAGAGCGCGGTGCCAGCAAGTGATCGGGGTCCTCTATTTGTATATGTTATCTGCCAGCCGTTCTAGAGAGGTTTCCCCCCAATTCCGTCACATCTTGCGTCACATCACAGATCAGCCGCTTATCTACATCTATCGGAATCAGCGTGTAATCTGCGTTGTCTCTCTGAAACCTCTCGCAAACGGGTGGGAAGGAGCCTGGAATCCAGGTGCAAAGAAGCGAAGGAGGAGCTCACGTGATCGTGATCCGTCTCATTGCCGAGGCACGAGGTCGTCGCGTTGATTGGCGCTGGCCCCACGCCACCTCTCTTTCCTGGACCAACCCGTCGCTACGCGGTATGGAACTGGCATGTGATCGAATCGATTACCACCCGTCTCTTCTCTCTGAACGACGACAATGACGCAACCCTCGCCGTTCGGGAGCCAGCTGGGCACGAACTACGTCCCCACCGACGACGAGCTCACCACCCTCTCAGCCTTCCTCGCAGGCCCCAGAGCCGATCTCGCGGCGCTCACATCGAAAGCGGCCGAGCTCCGGCTGTCGCTCGCCGCGCTCGAGGCGGAGCAGGAGGGCCTGTCCGCCTACATCGACGCGCACACGGCGCTGCGCTCGCCGATGCGCCGGCTGCCCGACGACCTCGTGCGCGAGATCTTCCTCGCGTGTCTGCCGGACAGGCGCAACAGCGCGATGAGCGCGGGCGACGCCCCGCTGCTGCTCGGCCGCGTCTCGAGCGCGTGGCGCGCCCTCGCGCTGACGACGCCGCGGCTGTGGACCCGGCTGCACGTCGTGCACCCCGTCGGCGACCGCGTGATCCACGGCCGGCTCGACGCGTATGGGCGGCTCCCCGACTCCGCGGCGCAGGAGAAGGTTCTGCGGCAGCAGGTAGAGGCGAAGCTCCGGCAGCGCGTGCTGGGGCTGCACGAGTTCCTCGGGCGCTCCGGGGACTGCCCGCTGCATCTGTCGCTCGACGTCCCGCAGAGCTCGCGCCAGTCACCTGGGACGCTCGTTGAGGAGCTCTTGCGCTATGCGCACCGATGGCACACGATCGATTTCAAGCTCACGGCGGAGGGGCTCGCCCGGCTCTTACAGCTGACAGAAGAGGATGTGCCGCTGCTCCAGACTGTGCGCCTCAACCCGCAGATGACGGATGCCTCGCACCAGGCGCTGATGCTGACAGGTGCAGGTGGGGTGAATGCCGGATGGAACGTCCCTGGCGCGCTCCCCCCTGGCCTTCAGGCGATCGCAGCGGTCCACCCAATGGTGCCCCACAACTTTGGGGCTGCAGCTTTGGCCCATGTGCCTGCCCCCAATCTTCCATTTCCTCCCGCTGGCGGACCACCGTTCAACGCACTCACAATCGCTGCTATGAATCACCACCAAATGCACCAGCACGCGCTGTGGCAGCCACCCGCTGAGACTTTCTCGTACAACGACTGGCCAAAGCTGCGGCTGGTGAATGGGCTGCAGGTCACCGCGTTCACGATCACGGTGGACGGCCTGATCCTGCAGTCGATGCCTTTCCGCTGGGCGCAGCTGACCACCCTTTCGGTCACGACACAGATCCTCGGGCAGAGCAGAAGAATGCTCGACATGGCTCCCCCGATCCTCCGAGCGTATGACGGCTCCACCGTGCTGAAGATGCTCGCACATTGCACGCAACTGCGGACGCTCAAGATGCTCATCGTCGATCGCGCTCAGTTGCAAGAGGATGTGATGCCAGAGGTGACGCTCGAGCACCTCTCGTTCCTCGACCTTGTCATTACGAATGTCAGCCCGCACGTTGCGCCGCAGGTCGAGCACCCGCTGAGGCTATTCAGTCTTCTGCGCACACCGAAGCTCAAGTCGTTCGTCGTGCAGCTCCCGTCAGACCAGCTCGCGGGCCCGACGCCGCGGGCGATCCCCGCGTCGCTGCTGGACTTCCTCGGGCGGTGCACGAGACTCGACGGCTTCGATCTGCGGGTCGACACGTTGAACCGCGACCGCGTGCGTGCGGTGGTGTACGCGCTACCCGCTTCGCTGCGCAAGCTCAGTTTCGTCGAAGACAACCGCACCGGCCGCTTTGGCCTGACGGGCATCTACCACACCGGGGTGCAGCACAACCCAGGCAACCAGTGGCCGCGGGACCTGCTCACCTGGCTGACGCTGCCGCGGGACTCGGAGGAAGCGTCCTCGTCCTCGTCCTCGTCCCTGTCACCGCCCCTGCTGCCCGCGATCGAGGTGATCGACCTCAAATCCGTCACGCTGTCTCCCAGCCCGGACGACGTCGAGGCGTTCGTCGTCTCCCGGCCAGCGCTGACCCGCCTCTCAGGCCGCTTCGGGGAGCCCGTGACGGAGTACCTGCCCGGGCGCCCAGAGATCTGCGCGCGGCTCAGCGGGGGCTTGGTCCTCGCGCTCGAGTACGCGACCGACCAGGTCGACGCGCGCTACATTCGCAACGACGACTCGGTGTGGCGCGGTTTGTGTGATGGGTCGGGTGACGGGGCCACGCGAGGTCCGGCGGCGCGATCTTGAATTTCATTGGGTTCTGAAAAGTGGCCGTCATGATCTACATATTAGTTCAATGCTCAGATAAAGAGGCCCTCATGCTCTTGCTCTGAAAAGTGGCTGTGATAACCTAGAAATTGGTTCCATGCTCAGATAACGAGGCTTCATGCTGTTGCTGGGGATATATTTCGTAGGAGATTCGGGGCTATGCGACAAATTACATTGGATTACTACATCTGCTTGAAGAATGCGGCGGTGTACGCCGGGACGACGATGTACGACCCCGTCTTGATGTGCACCTGGCCCTGCCACTTGGCCACGCCCGCCGCGCCGCCAAAGTGGCGCACAAAGTACGTCCCCGCGGGCATCTTCTGCACCGCAAAGCTCACCGGCACCTGCGGGTTCTTGTTCACGACGACGAGCGAGAGCGTCCCGTTCTTGTCCGTCGCGGCGAAGACGCCCTGGGTGTCCGGGTTGGGCGTGGAGAGCGTGACCTGCGCGGTAGAGGCGCCGAAGAACGTCCCGAACCCGCGGAAGAGCCAGTACGCCAGCCCGACGGGGCCGTTCTCGTCCGGCGTCGCCCAGTAGGTCGCGCTGTCGAGCCCGGACCGGCCGAAGATGCCGAGCATGTCCACCGTGAGCAGCCCGCCGGTGATGTCCGTGTCGAGCGTCGAGTCGAACTCGGACAGCGAGAGCTTCGTGCCGGGGTAGTACTGGTTGATGAGCGCCTTCATGCGCGGGATGAGCTGCACGATGGTCGGGGCGGGCTGGTGGTTCTGCTGCCCGGGCTGTCCGATCCACGACTCGTCCACATACGTCGTGTCCTAAAGTTGATTCAGACTCCAGTCGGCTGGCTCCAAAGCACACTGTATGCGCACCCAGAGCGATCGCGACATGCGCAGCCGCAGCGCCTTTGCCGCCGCGTCGTTCGCGCTGACGTCGGGCGCAAAGTAGTAGTGCAGGTCGAGGTAGTCCAGCAGCCGCTTCCCGTGCGTCTTCTCCGCCGCGGCCATCTGCTGCAGGAACCACGGGATGAAGTCCGTGTTGTTGTGCGCGGCGTTGTCCGTGTAGCCGATCGAGCTCGTCCAGTCTGGCGCGTGAGTCAGTCAGTCTGGGGGAGAGACTCGGGGAAAGTGCTCACAATACCACCAGGCACAGGTCGAGGGCATAGCGATCTGCGTGTTCGGGAGCGCGGTCTTGATCGCCAGGGAGTAGTTCAGCATCCGCGCCAGCTCCTCGTCGTATCCCATCGGGCTGCGGAGCGACGGTCAGCGCGGCTCAGAGCATCATCAATTGTGCGCTCACTTGGGGTGCATGTCCTGGTGCGTGTTGCTGGTAATCTCAATCTCGTTGTCGATCGAGATGAGCGTCGGCTTGTGCGTGAGTCCCTGCAGCCACGTCACGGCCTGCGAGACGCTCCACGGCGTGTAGGCGTTGGTCTGGCTGGGCGTGGGCGTCACGTAGGACCCGTTCGCGTACAGACCTGATCCGGCATTGGTGTTGTATGGATCGTGGGAGCTCTGGTCTGTGGGAAAAGATCAGGTGATGTGCCAGCGGTGGGGGCGGGAGGAAACGCGCGTACTGCCGTAGACGGAGACGGGATACGAGTACGACGTGGCGTCCTTGGCGACCCAGTCCAGCCTGGCATCGCGTTTAGTCGAGCGCCAAATCGAGAGACGGGGGGATCACTCACGCCGGGACGGTCAACAAACTGCCGCTCCCCGCGCCGCCGACCCAGCCCATCCACGCATCCGCATCCGGCGGCGAGGCGACCCGGTTCTCGAAGTACCAGTCGTTCCCCGCGTTGGTGAACTGCCCGGCCGGGTTGTACGCGGTCACCGCGTTGCCGCCCCAGCGGCTGATCGTCACGCCGAGGTCCTGGATGTACGACGCGGAGACGGGGAAGTTGACGCCGTAGATGAGGGGCGAGATGGGCGTCGACTTGGTTTTGTCGATGGACATCGACTGCGCGGCGGGCAGCGTGTAGTTGATCGAGAGCGTGGGGCTCGTGATGACCAGTGCGCCCGGCGCGAAGTTCGAGGCCAGAGTGAGGTAGGTGATGAGTTTGGACGGCGAGCCGACGGGGACATAGCTCGTGCTGTTCGAGACACGGACTGACTGCACGAAGAACGTCAGCCGAATGTCTGCTTCGTTTGCACCAACACAAGACTGACCTTGCCGTTCAGCTGGACGGCAATCTTGGTAAAGTCAACCGCCCCCTGCGACGTCACCGCGATGATGTTTTCGGCGAGAGGCTCGGCCGAGAGAATCTCGGGGGTCACAACGATCTGCTGCACGATGACGACGTTGTCGAGATGGTAAGCGGTGGTCGTCTCCCCACCCGACTGGAAGGTTATCCGATCCCAGGTCCCGTTCGGCTGCCAAGACTTGAGTTCTCGCAGAACATTCACCGACTACAAGCCACCACATACCAAAGCCGTTCCCGTGCCAGGGAGATCCTTGAAGTTGATCAACAGCGTGGTGAAGGCCGTGGCGTTGACCGCGGTGCTCAGCGCCGACAGCGGGATGCTCGGGGACGTCGTCCCGTCCGCAGTAGACGACAGCGATATCGTCAAATCGGGGTTACTCCCCTACAACCGCATTGAGCAAAACCCACTTCCAAGACACAAAGCGGCGAGACGCACCGCGATATCAAACTTCATGCCCGCATACCCACCGAGCAGCCCGCCGTCGTACTTGACCGAGAGCGCGCTGTACGCGCCGGAGCTCACGCTGATGCTGCTGCCCGCCGCGCCCGCGCGCAGGTCCGTCGCGGCGAAGTCGATCGTGCTGCCCCAGGACCAGTTCTCCCACTGCGCGGCGAGCGCGGCGTCGGTGTACACGGGGACGTCTTGCCCGCGCACCGCGAGGCCGACGAGCAGGACGAGCAGGGAGACGCGCCGCATGGCTTTCGAGAGTAGTGGGGGGTCCTCCGGGTCGACGCGATGGGTGGGTTTTATACAGAGACGCCTAGACGCTTATCGGCACGCGAATGACACACGGTGCCGCCGGGTTGCGAATAGTGGGTGGCTTCATCGGAGAAACTGGGTCAGGCGGGCGATGCAGACGACTTCCAACTCCGACTCGGAGCTAGTATAAGGCCAGCAAACGACAGATCGCTGGCCTGTGATTCTGGCAACTGCTGCCGTGCGTTTCGTGTGCGGAAGTGCCGAAGAGGGTCGGGAGGAAGGGGGGGTCATGAGCGGCGAGCCTGGACATAATGACCTTGTGACCCCGCTTGGAGTTTGTGTACATAAGTACCCAGGAGATAGGCCTGGATTCGAGTCACGCTTTTCGCCAAGGATTTAGCGAGAATTTTCATTTTAGCAGACGATGATCCCCGGCCAGATCGCCGGATGGCAGGTTTCCCACGCAAGGCTTAACTTGAATTAGACAGCGGTTGAACGAGTTTTTCGAAGATGTGAGGAGACTTCACACAAATTTTGTAATTCATTCTGTATTCACATTGCGTATAAATCCAGGGATTCATTGATTCTGCACAAAGAAGTATCAATATTTTTCCTCGTCCTATCTCTCCGGTTCGCCTCTGCTACTCATGGTGCCCGTGACAAAGGAAGCGTTGTCAAGTTCACGGACATACTAGATAACGGATTCCCAATCAGCGATCAGCGAAACGGAGAACAATTAACGCCACGCACCATTCAACCCCGTCACGTTCACGGCATTCTGGCAGATGTTTTTCGGGGTGACACCCGCTGGCAGAGACACATTGAACGCCGAGAAGTGGATGTTCGTGCAATTCACGGCGGAGCTACACTCCAGCGCAACGACTGTGTACGTCCGTCAGCCCAAAACAAAGCTCCTTACCAGATCCTCGGCTCACCTGTGCTCGACAGCGCAGTGCCGGACCAGTTCTCGAACGAGATGTTCCCGAATTTAAAAATAGACGGTCGGTCTCCGCTGGATGGGCATATATCAGCGGCAGTTTGGCGGCGGTGGCGCGGAGTTACGACGACGCACCTGTGACCGCCGTTGGTCTGGGAGATGGTCATGGGTCGGTCGACGCGATCGAGGACGATGTCCCGGGTGACTATGTTCGTGGCGTAGCCTGGCGAATAAGATCAGAGCTTTATCCGGGGAAGGTCGCTTGTTCATCAACATACCGGGGGCTCCACCTCCACCTGTTGGAGGTGCACCGTTGACCGTGCCGTCCCACGACTTGAAGTAGATCTGCTCGTGGTCAGCTGGACGGTTCGAGGAGGTGTGAATGGGTGCTCACCCCGTTCTTCATGTTCGGTTGGATGGTGGTGTTGATTCGGGTCATCTGCGAGTGGTTATCGAGGAGGTCAAAGCGGTAAACATCAAGACGTACGGTGATGTTTTCCATATGAACAGTGTCAACGATATCCGTCTGCAGAATCTCAGCCGATCGCCATCGCCTAGACAAAACGCAAAGCCACACACTCACAAGGTTCACATACTGAGCCAACGACCCGAACGCGACCCCGTTTCCGCCCCGGCAGACAACGTTCTTGACGGTGAGATTGGTCGTGTTCTGGTCTCGGATCATTCGCGTGAGGGCCGGCATCGATGGCACAGACTGCAACTCACGCCTTTGACCGCGAGGCAGTCATCTCCACACGTGACATCCCAGTTCAACAGCGAGACGTTGTCGCTCCGGTAGGTGTCGATTCCTGCCCTGCTCAGTCAGGGGAACCTCTCCATTGATTCTGCATCTTACCGTCCGTGTTGGGCACGATACTTCAAAAGAATCAGTCAGCGCCGGAGAACATTCCGCACGACACTCAAAGCGACGCACTTGGTCCCGAAAAACGTCGCATTCGTGTTCGTGGCGTTGCACAGCATCCCGTCGTAAATCACATCCTTCGACTCGGCGACCGTGTTGCACCAGAAGGGCGGCGACTCGATGCGGAAGTTGCGGATCTTGGCGTGCTGGGCTTGGTAGACCGTAAAGGAAATGGGCCGCCCGTCGCCATCGAGTCGCGGAACGCTGGTGAAGTGGTTCCACCAGGGCTTGTTGCATGGAATAGATTGGAAACAATTCCACCACGAAAAAAAGATACTCACCTGCCCGTTCCCGTGGATCCCGCCGACGTTGTGTGCGTCGATGACAAAGTCGTGTCCGGTGACGACGAACCACGAAGCCTGGCTTTGGATGAAGACGACGCGGTAGGTGTTGTTCGCGTTGAGCCAGTAGTCGATGTCCGGAACGAACTGGACACCCATTTCCTAAGAATCCGCCCCCAGCAAACGACATGACCGCAACTCACACTGAGAGAGCCGTATAAATCGACCGTCGAGCCGGCCAGGTTCCATGTCATCTTCCTGCGAGAACAGCTCAGCGTGCGGTCATCAGTGATGCGCAGGCTGCGGGTGACCCCACCGTGTGATGTTGAAGGAGCCTTCTTCGAGCGTCACATGTCCGCCCTGCCCGCACTTCTCGATCGCCGCAAGAACCTACGCAGGCTCGCGTCGCACGACATCCCACAAAATCCCAGCAACGGGCCTACGCACCTGGTCCGTATCGTCCTTCCCGACTCCCAACGGCGAGACGGAGCATTTCGGGACCTTGCGCGCCTCCGCAAGGAGCACCAACGCCGCACAGAACAACGCGGAGAACGACAGTCTGCTGTGGATGGGGAGTTTCATGATGACGTCGAGTAAAGTTGCGCACGGTCGAGCAGTCTGACATACTTATATCCTCTCCAGTCCGCGGGAAACATCTGTATTCGCCAATCATGTCAGGTGCAGGTGCGGCGGACCGACAGGGCCGCCGATCGTCATGTGAGCATCGGCACCCCTTCTGTGATCGTATGACGCAGGAGTCTATGGAGTAGCATTTATACTCTCCTCACAATAGATATTATAAACCAAGTGCGCACAACAGGTTAATGCAGCACTTGAATTCAAAGACGCGTGAAACTCGCAGTCACGTGATTGTTCGATTTCGAGTTTGATTGTACTTAATCGCTTGGAACGCAGACCTGCATCGAAGCATATTTCCGTTTTCTTAACGAGAATATCATAAGAAAGAATTCTTTCGCGAACACTCGATTGGCCGGACTCGCTCGGATAGAAAGGAGAAGTGCCTTCTTGAACCTTTGCACGTGACACAAGTCACGAGTGCCTGCATCGATAGTTACCTCATCGACACAGCCCCATCAACGGGGTTCCTTGCCCCGGAATAGACCCGGATCTGCCAAGTGACACGCATCTGCAGGCGTTCCACGGACTGGCGAGTCATACCGCTCGTGTACAGCTGTTGGTGGCACCCTGCGATATAAAGTCAGTCACCCTCAACGCTCGCAGCACACACGCCGCCGCATCATGCCCCGCACCGCGAAAGACAAGCCGGCCGACTCGAGCGCGCACAAGGCAAAGAGCAAAGCGGCTGCAGAGAGGACGAGGAAGCACATTCCACAGGCGTGCGATGTGTGCCGGGCGAGGTGCGCACGGGATGTGTTCCGCCTCTATCCAAGAGCCGAACGTCGACAGACATATCCGATGTGACGGGACGAAGCCTGTGTGTGAGCAGTGCAGGCAATCCACACGGATGCATGAGGTGAAGTGTCTGCAGTTCTCTGGGTGTCATTCTTCGCCAACGAATGGGACGGCAGTGTACGTGGTTGAAGGGAACGGTTCGCAAGCCGCGGACAGAGGCGCACTTCGAGGCGCTGCGGAAGCAGGTCGACTCGCTGCAGGCGTATTGCCGGGCTCTGGAAGAACGCGTCGCCATATGCTCTTGTCAAACAAGGAGCGAGAGCGATTCCCTCAGCCGGCCACTGGCTTCTTTCGACGAAGAGGATGAGGAGAATGACTTTGGGGATCAGCAAGCTGACGGCGTGTGGGAAGGAGCCCGGCGAGAAGACGATGAGGAGGAAGAGCTGGACGATATAGCACAGGAGCTGTGCATCCCGGCACAGGATCTCAAGGTCAGCAACATCCCGATTGTGACCCCCGTTTATATCAGATCTGTTTCTACAGCTCGGCGAGCGTGAACTTGAATCTCACGGCATCACCGCGCCCTTCCGATTTCTGGCCGTCTCGATCGATGACCCACCCGCTCCGCCCAAATCCTCCCAGCTTTCCGAGAAGAACGCGATCTCGAACGCTGCCGACACTTATGTATTCACTCTCGACGGCAGCAACGAATTTGACCCTACGTTTCAGTGGGCCCGGTATCTTCCTAAAGAAGTCCCGCTTAGCAGACAGGAGCACGACCGCATTCTCGATCTGCTGTTCAAATTCTTCACGATGTGGTGCATGCGCGTCGTCCCATCCCTCTTTCTGCGGGACATGCACCGCCATCTCTCAGTCCCGAGCTCTTCGCCGCCCCCGAAGACGACGCACTACTCCCCCATGTTGCACAATGCGCTGATCGCCCTGGCGTCGGGGTTCTCAGACGATCCCCGCATCCGAGACCTCCGGGCCAGGCAGTATTTTGCCGACGCCGCGAAGCGGTGCATCGAGGCAGAGTGCATGAAGCCGAACATCAGCGTCGTCCACGCGCTCTCAATCCTCGCCAGCTTCCACTCCACGCAGGGCGACCAGATGCTCGGCTATCTCTACTTCGGGATGAGCGCGCGGATAAGCCAGGCGCTCGGGCTGTGCATGGACGCGCAGCCGTGGGTCAAGGCGGGCCGGATCACGGCGGCTGATATGCAGGATCGGGGGTGGGCGTACTGGACGACGTTTACGCAGGACGTGTGCTGGTCGCTCTATGTCGGGCGCGAGTTTAGCTTGCCCGCTCCGTCAGAGACTGTGCCAGTCCCGTTCGTTGATACCGCATCGGACCGGATTGCGTGGAGCTACAGAAACTCGGGACTGGATCCCCAGGCAAATCACTTGTCGAGCACGTTCTCTGCCACCTGCGACTTGTTGCTGATTGCTCGCAAGATCATGAAGATCGTGTAAGTGCTTTCTCTCTCTCAGATGTTCAATGCTCACGCCGGCCATTTAGAAATCGTCTGGCCAAGGTTTCGGGCAGAAAAGACCTCATAAACGACCACATGATCAGCGAAATCGAGTGAGCACGTCTCAGTCTCGATGTCACATTGTAGACTAATGGTCCAGCGTGAAAATTCATGCATGGAAAAGTCGTCTGAAGCCCGAACTGGAGATCAACGCCTCGAACCGAGACTTTGCCACGCCACACAAGTTGATGCTGCATTGCATGTACTGGTGGTCTTTCATTCTCCTCCACCGGCCTTTCTTTCACAGAAAAGCCAAACCGATGCACGGATCGGATCCTGAAGTTGATCATGTCAAAGTATGTTGCAAGTATGTTTCACCTCCAGCATACGAACCGAACGGCTTGACAGCTTTGTAAACGGGCAGCGGAGAATCTCATGGATCTCGTGCAGAGCTACCGATCGCTCTACAGTCTCAGATACGTCCCCATGACTATGGTTCGTGCCCAAAAAAGTGCCGTATTGCACCGGATCTCACGGACCCGCAGATTCAAGTCGTCTTCTCCGCAGGAACCGTCTACCTCCTCCTCGCCGCCCGCTCGCTCTCGGGCGCTCGTATCGGGCACACAACACTCACAGCCTCCCTGGCCCAGACCGATCTCTGCATCGACTACCTGCACGAGATCGCAAAATCGTGGTCCTGCGCGACAGCCATCGCGAACATCCTGCACGGTCTCAAGGCCGATAGGATTGGGCTGCTCCTGCGCAGGCGGGGCATGAGTATCACGCAGCAGCCGCTGGATGAACCCGCGCCCGCTGTTCCTGCCGCTGCTGCTGAGGCGATGGACTTCAACATCTTCTCTGCTCTCGACTCGGGCACGAACTACGACTCGGAGATGTGGAACCTCCTCGGGATGGTCGGCGGGGAGACGCTGTCGGCGGTGCCGTTCGTGCCGTTCGACATGGGCTATCAGGATGTGGAGTCTCCTGCGCTGCGGGATGACGAAGCAGGTGCGCGGGACATGAATATGGATATGGATGCGCTGTGGAATGAGCTCTGGCCTTGAGTATCCAGTCGATCCAAGTGTACCACATCGCATCTCACTTTACTTTGGTCTTGGGCTTCATAACGGCGGTCGCGCAGTGAGAAGATGCCAGAAGGGAAGCAGAGGTACAAGATTTGAGATGGCAAGCTTCTCTGTTGTCCCATCAAGCATACTCTATGCGACATCCCCTCCCCTCGAGCTCCGTCATTAGCCAGTCCGCTACATCGATTTCGTCCCGCACCGATCGCCACCCACCTCCTTCACATACGATACGCTCCAAACTCGCAAAAAGCGGGCCACCATCAAAGAGCGTCTGCAGACACCGCTCGATCAGTGCCAACCCAAGGGGTGACATCCTCAAGGCATCCAGGCGGATACGTAGGCACACAAGAGCCGAGGCTGCGCCTCGCGGAGTGTTTGCGCCTGACGCCATGCTCGCACACAAGGCATGATAGCCGACAGTGTGGACGTTTGGACACCGCTCGAACACGTCGTTGAATGTGAACCACTCCACTGCTGAGTCCCCGAGATCGAGTGTACGCAGGGCAGGGAGGACGGGGAACCGGATGTCCGAGAGGCATTTGGGGCGGATCGCCAGGTGAGTGAGGCAGGGGCGGAACGCGTCGCTCGCGCGGAGAATCGCGTGAATATCCGCCTCGTTCAGATCTATTGCGGACAGCAAGTGGAGGGAACGGAGGGCGGGGAAAGGATCGAGGCATTTAGGCGCGGAGAGTCCTCTGCCTATCGTCGAGGAGCTTTTGAGCACCAGATGCGTGACGTTTGGGGCGGCGGCGAGCAAGGCGAGGAGGAGCGGTCCCGACCAGTCCGATACGACCCACTCGACATGTGTGAGCTGGGCCATCGTAGACAGCGCTCGTCCTCCCGCCGTCCCCACACGCTCCAGTCGAGGAAATTCGCCCAGCGAGACCACACGCAAGTGGGCGCAGCGGCAAAGGACGGATTCGTTCAGGTCGAAGCGGGTTGTCGAGAGCCGGGCGGTGCGGACGAGGCGGGCGGTTTCAGGATCTTCGAGGGCGTCGGAGAGGGACTGCCATCCCCGATCCGGTACTCGTATGTGCGCAAACAACAGCGGCCGTGCTAGCTGGTTCCATGCCCGAGACACGCGACGCAGTGTACGCGCAGTCTACAGGAGCTTAGATGCGAGGGAAATCACTGACGGCTCGCCCGTACCCGCAAAAACGCCCTCAATCCGTTCTCGTTCAGCATGCTCTTTTCCCCTTCGTCGATGGCGTTCACTGGGGACAGCCGTTCGACGGAAGCCCGATGGATCTGCATCCATATTTCTGGCGGAAGCGACGGAGTTTGTCTCGCAGGAGGATGGTCTTGCTTGCGCATCGTGGACGTGGGACGGAAGAGACGATGATGGTAGATGATGATCCACTCCTCCCTGATATCCTGCGCCATCTGATATTCTAGGCATCTCTACTCCATGCTTGCCCATTCACATATACAACGAGCTAGCTGCGCAATCTTGCGGACACGTCGAACATTTCGCTGTTACACAAGATGACTCGGCCCATGACACGTCATTCAAGATGACAGAGCTCGAGAAGATGGCTGACGGGAGAACACACGTCGGCAATTGTTCTCCACTCTGAGCATCTGGCTCAACGAGAATCTTTGCACGGCGGACGAATGGCGAGTGGCAGCGAACCTGTCCTGAGTGTGTGCAGTCCAAAGCATTGATGTGAGGCACCCGTCACGTGCAAAATCTCCGCTGCTTGTCAAGATGATAAGATTGTTTTGGGGTGATCTGGATAAAAATTATGAACGGTTCCATTTCTCTCTCTCCCTCCCCCAGATGCAGAACGAAAAATAAATACCTTCTTTCAATTCTGTAAGCCTCAAAAGAGTTATGATTCTGGTTTATTCTTGTGAGTCACAGAAACTCGTTGTAGAACCGTAGACGTTAATTATTGTGTTTCCCATGAACCCTCCTGCAGTGACCATAGCAGCTATCGCAACAGCGAGTCGATTTCTGGAACACTACGGGAGTTTATTAAAAATTGCGTGAGCGCGCTGCACTTTGCTTGCTGGTGTTGCAAATCCAATTCCCCCACAAGGTGTTTCAGTTTACAGCTGTGCATCGAAATGAGGTCAGACCGCGCGCATCAGATGCGTAGTGAGCGTCCGATCTACCTGAAGGGTCCTGATTCGAACCGCACTCAAACAGAAAGAAGCAACGATTGCATGATGTACGATATACATTCAGTGAAAGTACATGGAGGTTCCGCAGTGTTTTTCGCCAAGCATCTACACCTTTCGAATGGCCTGAGGAATAGGCAGACGTTCGAAGTGTGTGACAGATGTCATCAGATTACTGTGCTTCAGACCATCGCCCTGTGAAAAGATCTTCAACTTTGACATTCCAAAAGACAATTTTTGAGAGACGTACAATCATGAAGTTGGGGAAGCCGGGGTCGAATGGCAGGATGCTCTCGAGATAGGCGATGTGTTCCGGGGTCAGGACCACGTCGAGGGCCTCGACATTCGCCAACAGGTGCTCGACCTTGCGACCGCCGATGATGGGGAAAACGTACGGAAGCTTTTGCATCAAGTACGCGATCGCAACTGGGAGCAGATTGAGAAATGAGGGATATCAGCGGAAGTGGAACGCACCAGAGGTGATGTGTTTTGTTCCGACTTCACCAGCTACCTTCTCTAGCGCCGCGGACATCTTCCTCTCGTCCTCATTGCGTTCCCAATCGGGTCCAAACATCATGCGGCCCTTCTCTCCGGAAACGCGGCGCGCCTCTTCTTCGGCATCAGTGCGCAACTTGCCGGCAGCCAGCACGTTCCACGGAGCCAGCGCCATCCCTTGAACCGAATAAGCACAAGACGCTCGGGCCGTTTGTAGCCGGTGTGCGTACCGTATGCTCGAGCCATGGGGATGATCTCGCGCTCGAACGAGCGGGCCATTACGTTCCACGCGCCCTGGTAGATCACAAACTGCGACTTGCCGTGGTCGCGGGCGTACTGGTTCGCCTGCGCGACGACCCAGGCGGGGGTGTCTGAGACACCGAGGTAGAGGACCTTGCCCTGGACGACGAGGTTGTGCAGCCCGTCCATGACCTCCTCGATGCTCGTGTCCCAGTCCCACCAGTGCATGTAAAGGATGTCTATGTAGTGCGTGCGCAGCTTTTTGAGACTGGCATCGACGCTGACGTTCATCGACTTGATGTTGTTCCCCACGTAGTTGACCTGCTGGGTGTACTTGGGCTGTCGCACTTTGAATCCAGAGGTATACTGGAGGTAATTCAACATCGTCCTTCAGCTGTATTTCAATGAGTGGCTCAGTACCTTGGTAGCGATGACCAGCTGGTCTCGGATGTCGCGCTTCTCGGCCCATTCGCCGATGAACATTTCGGACGTCTCATCCTGGCTGCGAGACATGTCAGAAGCACTGTCGAGATGTATCGCCGCGGGATCAACGCACTAGACGTTCGCAGTGTCGATGAAGTTTCCGCCCGCGTCAAAATACGCGTCCAGGAGTTTGAAGCTGGATGCTTTGTCCATAGATCCCATCCCCAGCTTGTCCCACTTGTCGCCGATGCTCATGGCGCCCAGCTGGAGGGGCGAGACATGCACGCCCGCTTTGGCCGAGAGTGTGCGGTAGAATCCGAGCTTGGTGGCTGGCTGAGGAGGGGGGGTCCAGAAAGACATTTCGCTGCAAGATCGTGAAAGAGGTGAGGCGAGTATGAATGAGCACAAACCTAGAGGGGCCCCCTTTTATACGGCTTTCATTCCAGCCCACGACTCAGAGTTGATCCAACAAATCCACCAGTTCAACGAATGCGGCGAAGATGTCCGGTCGGCGATGGCTTGCGCGTACTGTGCCGCTGACAAATCCACGTTGTTTCGGCTGAGTCAGCAGGGCAACGTCGCATCGGATGAGCATCCGGTACTTAGCGGTACCTGCTTTACAAACTAGACGCGCTCGGACTGACGTAACTCTGCAATCGACAGCATGAGACTTCCCGCGACACTGAGAACGGACGCACTTTTCCGAAAGAGGACACTCACTGCATTTCAAGGGTACCTAGCCCCTTTTGGTGGCTAGTCGGGTAGCTCAGTGCTAGCCCCCATGAAGTGGCGAGGTGTCTAGGCACTGCCGTGGTTAGAGGTGGCTAGTGTGGGACGAGGAGTGGCTAGCCTGATCGTCCATCACTTGATCGTCACTAGCCCCCATCGACCGCTTCCTCGCTCCCATGTCATCAACAGGAAGGAAAAATTCGACCAAGTCACAGCAGGTCACAGCTAACCACCAGTGGGTTTTGATGCGGTGGAAATAGCCACGTGTAGACTCCGTGCGGCCTACTTGATCAGCTGCCGGCTCGCATGCCGGAGCCCCCAAATCCCGGCTAGTTACCTAATCCACGGTCGGCTAGTGATCTAGGCCCGACTCGCCTTTGGCTCGCCCATCACTCGCAAGCCGAAGCCCCCGAGGGGGCTAGGTACCCGTGAAATGCAGTGACTGCTCATCTTCGACGATCTGATCACCCCGGCGCAGCCCATCGAGTGGGTTGAAAGTGAGAAATTGCCTGGCTCAGTTCAGGCTCAGTTCATTATCATTTCGCCGCACGCGTTTCGCGCCTTTAGAGCTTATGTACTCAGAAAACGTTGATGTGCACGGGCGACGTCTAAGCGAGGGCCCAGGGACGGGAGAACGAGGACTAGAGGTCAAATGGGCGGGCCCCGCTCCGAGTGCGCCGTGTAGTGATGTATTGATGCGAGGTGTCCAAACCAAGGTTCAGGTGAGGCTGGGAATGCGGGGAAATGAGTGAGCGAACTCCTGCGGCGTCTGTCTGGACCGCGGACTGCTGGATCGATGATGTAAACGATGGGAGGTCGGAGTCAGGGACTCCTCGAAATGGGCTATAAAGGGGGTATTATATTCTGTCTTTCGTATCTACAATCTCGTGCTTATATACTACCATGAACGATGGCTCTGGAATATTCTGTAAGTAATGTGAAATGGCGGAGAAATCGCCAGAAAACCGCGGCCGATGAGCTTAATCCTGATGTCGGTGGATGCGCCGCGGCCGCTGATGATGGGTGGCAGTGTCCGTGTACAGCCGCTGATCATGCTCAACATCTCCTCCCTACTTAAATCATGACCGTCCTCGGTCATCCGCTCGCTCGCGCCTTATGGTCTGCCGGGATGGACTTGGATAGAGTTTTTGGTGCGTCCTCCCTACTGAAATCGGGATTGTGGGCCGCTAACCATCTTTTTCATCGTCCTGGTCTGGTAACTCTTCGTCTCCCGTTTCGTCGTCCTCTGGGTCTTCGAGCAGCGACTCTTCTAGCTCACGCAAGCGCTTGGTCGAAATATCGAGGAGGTCCTCGATGGGCGGGAGGTCAATGGCCTTTCGCGCAAAGTACGGAACCACACGGAACGCGGCAATAGGGCGATGCAGGACTGAGCCGTCGAGCTCGCAGAGGATGTACGCGCCGCCGCGGTTTCGTGAGATGACGACGAGGGGACCCAGGTAGCGTTTGCGCATCTTCCTATTCAAGGACTTCTCAATAGCCGTATTTCTCATCAGGACAAGGTCGCCACGCTTGAAATCCAAGTCCCGGATTGTCGCCGCGTGTTCTTGCTCGAAACGGACTGCTGCACGAAGGCGCGCCCCGTAGACATCAGAGTGGAGTGTGGATAAGTGGGAACGACGCTTTTGAAGGGCGATTGCACGGCGGGCGATGAGATCTGTGGTGGAAAGGACGGATTTGGGTGGAGGAAGCAGGTACGTGGCCTCGGAGATGTCGAGCGGGAGTAACGGATGTGTCCCAGTAACGGCGAAATACGGCGAGCAACCCATGCGACGTCGGACTGTGACTCGATCGGCCCAGAAGACGGAATACGCGGCACTGTGCCATTTTGCTTGGTTACCATCGCTTGCCTTGAAGAGCGCTTGTCGGACGTCGAAATGCGGTCGCTCCGCTAGGTTGGCCTGGGAGTTATAGCCCGATATGCGGATGTGGCATACTCCATACTGCTTCTCGAGGTAACTCAGCGCTTTCACAAAAGGGGTCCCGTTGTCTGATACAATCTCGCAGAGTGTTCCCCATCTGCAAAGCAGGTCTTCAAAGATCCAGGATGCAAGCGCTTTCGCGTTTTCTCGGCGAAGCATTCGAAACTCGGGGTAGTGGGTGAGCGAACAACGAGCTTGCACGATGTAGCGGAAGCCTCCGCTCGTCGGGAGATGCATGGTGTCCATGTATACCTTAGCGAAGAGTGGCGCCGGGACTGCAACCGTTGGCGGTATGGTGACTTTCCGAATCTGCCTCTGCTGACATAGATCGCAGGTCCAGACGTACCAAGCGATGTCATGGGCCATGTGTGGCCACCAGAATCGCTCGGCAATGAGGGCGCGGGTCGCATAGAAGCCTTTATGACAGACATCGTCATGTGCTGAGTGGAGGATAACGAGCCGGCGTTCGGTCGGGACAACCAGCTTGTGGCGGCCATCTGGATGCTTGCGCCAGAGCGTGCCATCGGAGAGGTAAAATTCCATTGCGTATCGTATAAATGACTGATACTCGCTGTCGGATAGCTCGCGGGGACGCTCAAGCGTGTCCAGCCACTGGCGTACTAGATGGACGCGGTAATCTGCAAGGCGGTCAGACTCAGAACGGGGAACGGAATCGTAGGAAAAGGGGGGCAGTGGGACTTCTTCGGGAATGACCTCGGCGGCGAGGGTAGCCACGATATTTTCGAGACGAGGGACATAGGGTGAGTGGTTAATCATGTGCATGAAACCATGAACCTGATCAACCCAGTCTTCGAACTCATCTTCCGGTTCCGGCTCATCACTACTCTGCGCGGGACGGCGAGACAGGCCATCGGGTCGATGGGAAATGCCTGGGACATGGACGAGGGTGAAGTGAAATGTAAGAATCGCGAGGATCCACCGGTTGATGGATGCGGAGGGGGATAGATCGGGATTGGTGAGCATTCCTTTTATGTACCGGGCGTCTACTTCGACCACTAGATTGCGGATGCCAATGACATGTAGTTTCCACGAGCGGAGCGCACGGTATAGACCATACAACTCAAGCTTCGGTTGTGAAAAACGGGACTCGCGGTCGTTCAAGGTAATGGAGCCAAATCTGGCGTAGAAGCGGCGTGACAGGAGCTCGGGATCGCATTGTGCGAGGAGGAACCCCACGGCTATGTAGGAGGTGTCGACGGAAAGAATGACAGGGGCAGTGGAGCGGTAGTCAAGAGGTCGAAGTGCAGGTGAGTGTAGCAGGGCGCGCTTCAGGTCATCTTGAGCGGCGGCTTGCTCAGGACCAAAGACGAAAGAGACCTCTTTTCGAGTGAGTTGGACTAGCGGGGAAGCACGTTTTGCAAAGTTCCTGATGAACATCCGTGCCACACCAACAGTGCCGAGGAAGGCACGGACGTCTGATAAATTCTGACATGGTCCCCAGTTTGCGATCTTTGCGACTCGGTCTGGGTCGGGAATGCGACCTGCTGGGGTACAGACGTGTCCTAGGACTGCGATCTGTTCTGCGCATAGAATTGCTTTGGGACCGGAGAACGTGCCTCCGCAATACTTCATTCGCTGAACGATGCGGTTTAGGTTCTGGAAGTGTTCCCAGACAAAGCGGCGGATTCCGGTGTTTTCAGGGATGGTCTCGGGCGATCCATCAGCAAGGGGATATTGGGACTCGGGGCCTCTAACAGGAACGTCGTCGATATATGGGATCGTGAACTCTGGGATTTCTGGCTGGAGGACGAAGGTGACGTCATCATGGAAGATAGGGACCGAATTTGACCACCCCATAGGCAGGGTCGTAAGCCGCTGTGCTCCAAAGGGGGTCTGGAACGTGGTGAGATCTCGTGAGGACTCTGCGAGTACTCGCTCATCATAGCCGACATAGAGATCAAGGATACCGCCACAGGCACGGCCTGCGAACTGCTCGGCCAGCTGATCTGTCAACGGGGGCACGCCGGAGTGCTGAATGGTAACAGCGTTGAGCGGCTCGAGGCTGTGGACAAGACGCAAGCTAGTGCCATCTTTCTTGACGACGCAGAACCAACGGGAACGGTACGAAGAATTCGACGGCTCGTACACTCCCGCGGCCATCTTCTTGCGAATCAGCTCGCAGACTTGGTCATAGATACCGGGCGGAATTGGTATGTTGCGTTGAACCCATGGAACGTGCGGAATGACGGGAATGTTGACAGGTTTGAAGAAGTCGGATCGAAATTTTCCTCGTTCAAGGTCGGTCCAGGCGAAGCCATCCTGATGGATCGACATGAAATGGTGCATCAAGCGACGCTCCTCTGGCCATAGAAATCCCTCGGGATGAAGGGAGTCAATGATGTCGCGTCGTTCAGTGGTGTAACGACCAATGGGAAGGAACGGGGGCGGAATCGGGGCGAGAGTTGGAAGGGTGTCAAGTGGGTCGCCGTGAATCTCCCTGACAATTCGAAACTGCTCAGGGAGATTCCCTAGGACTGGTCGGATTTTGCGCGCTACTGGTTTGTAATTTTTCTTGAAGACGTCGACTCGCCACGCAGAATACGGGTTAGAAAGTGATGTAGATTGTTTGTAGATTGGAATAGAGGCTGCGGGATTCATAGGGGGGATCGAGGAAGGGCAACAGCGAGTTGAATCGCTGATGCTCATTTCGCAAGACGCCGGTTGAACGTCGGAATGCGAGTGGAAGTAGGTACTGTATGGGGCTGGGAGGCTTGTACATGCCGATAGGTAGATAGTCTGCAAAGTATCAGTAGTATGTGGTAAATGAGTGGGAAATGTAGCATAGGACTGAATGGAATATGTGTCGGGGCTCGCATCTTCGGCCACGATGATCAGCGCAAGCTGCTCCTGATCGGAGATCAGATCATCTAGCCGCGAAAACCCTGCTCAGGCTGGCAGCGAGGGCGTGTCTGCCCACGGGGAACAGTCGGAATGGTCGCAATCTTGCCGGTGTTGGGGTCTCGTATGGTTACGGTCTGATTCTCGTCCGCATAGTTTCGAATGACACTTTCTGTCAGAACGTCGAAGGGCCGGCCGAGAAGGATGTCGTAAGCAGGATTACGGACAACGTGTACTTGCAAATACACCGTGATGTCGCCAAATGTGAATGGTACGTTTCTGGCCAGACCGAGCGACGGTGACACTGACCCATTTGCCGACTGCATCTGCAGCACGATGCGTGGGTCGTAGGCAAGGGCTAGCTCGTTCAACACTGCTTCTGACATCGCGATGATACCTGAGCCGCCATCAACAATACTTTCGACGCGTTTGTGATTGTCCACAATTGGGAGGACAGAACGTATGGCGGAGGACTCGAGCGACACCACTAGGGCTTCCGGGATGGTCTCGCTATTGGAGTAATAAGCTTCGTAGGGGTCTGGGACGATGAAGGCATCGGGTGGGAGCTGGGTGGCAGAATTGGCAAAGGTCGCTGGCATCGAGTCGAGGAACCTGGCGCTGCGTGCGTCGCGCTCTTTCTGCTCTTCGAGAGACTCGAGGGCTTCTGCATCTACCGGGATCGCCGCGCTCACCATTAGCTGGGGTGCCATTGTTGGTGCCTTGCCTTGCGCGACTACTGGGGCTGTGCGTCGACTCGTCGTTGCGTCTCGGACCTGGGCCCGTTGAAATGCTGAGGGCGTGCTCACAAGTGAATCTACTATGAAAGTAAACCCAAATATAAAACACGTTCACACTCCTCGTAATCAGCTTCTCAGTGTGTGAAAGATGCGAGGGCTTCGGGGTGGACAGAGCACCAGTATCACAACTCTCAATAGACGCAGATCCAATAGTCGCGGAGACGAAGTCGACGACAAGAATTTATATATAGCAAACAATGGTGTCTCAACCAATATCTTCTATACGAGCACAACCAACACTAATCCAATCCACAAACAACAATATAACAAGTCAGAGCTTAATACGAAGTATTAAGATCCCTTGTAGCGACAGCGTCCAGATGGCGACGCGAAGCTCAAATATCAAGTCGACGCACTGCCAACCGATACAACCAATATACTGAGTCGACGCACTGCCAACTAGTAAACCAAAATGTCAAGTCGACGCACTGCCAACTGACAAAACCAAAAGTACTGAGTCGACGCACTGCCAACTAGTAAACCAAAAGTACTGAGTCGACGCACTGCCAACTAGTAAACCAAAATGCCGCGTCGACGCACTGCCAACTAACAGCCAATATCCAATGTCCAAAACCCGAGCACAACTTGTCGACGCACTGCCAAGCAAGAAGTGTGGAACCAAAGTTCTCAAGTCGACGCACTGCCAACTGACCAAAACAACCCGAGCACAACTAGTCGACGCACTGCCAAGCTAGAGGTGTGGAACGATCTCAACAAAGCCCGAAGGCGACGACACTAAATGCCGCGACTAAACCAGATGCGGCGAATCCGACTTTCTGATGTCTCAACTCAAACTCAAATCACAGTGGCTACAAGTGCTCAGGGAGCAACTCGTCGCGACCGGGCAGGGGTAGCAGAACTTCTTAGGGTGGAATCACGCGGCACGCAAATTGTACAAAACAATCTGAAATGAGAGTGATTCACAGTCCGGGGGAAAGCTCCCCAATACAAAGAAACGACGTGCTACTTATACTGTCTACGACGCTGCTTAGTAAAGTCCTGTACAACTGCATAGTAGCTACGCTATCTAAGATCGGTTGCCTTTTAGGGTAATTGAAAAGTTGAACGATCGGACAGGTCCTGAGTGATCAGGACCCCGCCCCATTGTCCATATGATACTTTTGATGTGGGTCAACCCACCGCGTCATACTTTTGGAATACAACGTGTTGGATTGGCCAACGGGTATGTCTTGGCAAGTGAGACCAACGTGGGCGCCCCAAGAAGCCGTATGGCCCTAGGCACACCAGTCGTCCCCCACATGGTTCGGTTCACGGATCTAGCCGTGTCGGTTTCTAGTGTGTTTGGGTATGGACGCGACTCGCCGTGACACTTGGAAGTGTCACCGCGACGCGTCCACAATGTCCCGTGATCGAATGGATCCTGACATGTGACAAGTCGTCGTCGTGGCATGATCTGAGGAAACGTCCAACTCAAAACCGGGAGTTGCCGCGACAAGATGGTTTAAGTCTCGTAACGCCAAGTCCTGTCCAGTAGTAGTTCTATTATTGAGAACGTCGCGCATTGCTCAGCCCTTCAGCCCAAGTTCCCATCTGCAGAGAATGACCCTTTTCGAGAAGTCGACGCAACGACAGATCCCTTTTTGGGGAATGGTCGCGGTCCAAGCATTCGTCACTAATGGCCCTGAGCCTGGTGTAGACCCATAAGACCAGTTCCACAGTAGTGGTCTGACTGCCTTGCTATCGTCGACACTATCCACAGTCGTCGACTGGGCAGTAGACCCTTAAGTCCTACTGAGCGCAACACTGTCAACCGCGACACGATACACCGAATGGTTCAAGAGTAAACTCTGTAAAAAGCGCAAAAATACGCCCTTACAGAGCTGGTGCAGAGCGCGTCTGGTAGCCAGCCTATCATCTCCCAGGAACACTAATTTTGACCTCCTGGTCAATCCCGCGACAGTCTCACTGCGTCAGGTCTAAGTCCAACAGTCGACGTCTCGTTCATTTATTATTAAAGCCGCGGAGACATAGAGTTATGTTCCCACGTCTTATTCATTTGGTTGTTCGGTTCCTTCCGTGATCTGCCGCGATCAAACTTCTTCCGGCATGTTCACCATATAAATGCCCTCAATTTTCAGGGTCGAGAGTCTCCCTAGTACGAGACACTCTTGCTTTTCGACCACCATGTCCGCGCCCGACCAGAGCCCCCGCCCCCAAGACAACAACCGTGAGTGACGCCCAGGACGATTACCGCGACTTTTCAACCACGCTAACCGTCCATCAGCCGTCACCGAATCAGCTGTCCCGGGAGCAAACCCGCCTGCCATCGACTGGCGGCAGTTCATGCCGTTAGTCAATGTCTCTCTCATGGCTTGTCGATCCAACTCACCACCTGCCTAGCCCTGAGGCCTACAACATGATGTTGCGGCAGATGGCCGTCGACGTCCGCCAGATCCAGCAGGTGAGCTCCGTTCCAAGCCCGCTGGAGCGAGCAGTCACGGCGATCAATGATTGCCGCGCCTGTTCGCTTTGGCCTTCCTTCTTTTCACTCACGTAAGGACTAGCCGGCGTCTACGCCCTTGACCACCAACGCCCCAGTTGAGGAGTCGTCGCCGCCCAAGAAACGCAAACGAGTCGTCGAACCCGTACGTGTAATCTGTTTCATTCGTTTACTATGTTCTGATCGACCCCCAGGCGGCTCCAACCGAACAAGTCGCCGCCCCTTCGTCGTCCCGGCCTGCCAAGCAGAAGGGGAAGGGTGACGGCTCCAAGCCGCAGGCCCCTGCCGCCGTCGCGGGCAGCAAGGTCGCCGTCGCCAAGAAGTCGAGCGAGAAGTCGCAGGGGAAGCGACCCAAGGCGACTCCTGCAAAGGAGCCCAAGGCGTCGTCCCACGCGCCTACTCGTAAGTCGCTCTTTCCTTTCATTCACCAGAGTCGCGGGTACTGACTTGTCATAGCCGCTACCTCGGTCCCTATTCCACAGGGGTCACTTCCCAAGCGCGTTCACAAGAAGACGCACGTAGGTGTGTAATCCTATGTCTTATTTCATTGATCTTTAGACTAACCACCTGGTCCCTCCCAGCCCGGATCCAAGCACAGCCCGTGCAACCCGAGTCCCTCAGCGATGAGGAAGCCGCCGCCGTCGCCGACACTGCGATGGATGTCGACGACGAGGGGGTCCAGGAGGGAGACGCGTCATCGGCCGACGAGCTGGCCCTTCAGGTAAGTGACCCAGTTCGTCGATCGCGATTCCTTCGTCTCATGGTTGGTTTGTTTTTGACAGGGGCCCAAGTCCAAGGGGAAAGCGCGATCGAATTTGAGTGCGTTCTTCCTCTTGCCTTCTCTGTCGGTTACTCATACTTTCGTAGCCCCGTCCGTTATCGTCATGGACGACACTTCCGAAAGTGGGGAGGAGACCGGCGATTTCGTCGTGGCCAAGAAGCAGGTCAGCGAGACCCGCGTCAAGCCCAAGGTAAGCCGACTCCTTTTTCCCAGACCACGCCCCTTAATCCAGCTTTTTAGCCAATCAAGAAGGTCGCGGACGGATCGTCCAAGTCGACCAAGTCCGTGCCTCCCCAACCGGTGCCAAAGGTGGAGGCCAGTCGCAAGGCGAGCGCCCCGCGAGCGACGACTACCCCGACCCCAGTGGCTAAGGTGAGACACTAATCTTGGGTTCCAGACATCGACTAACTCAATTTTCTTTCTTTTCTAGGTTGCCCAGGCGGCTCCCGCCGCTACCAAGACTCCACGCAGTGAGTTGGGCAGGGTGGCCGCGACCCTTGGTCGCGAG